GAAATGAAATTCCAGTAAGAGTGAAAATACATATCCGAGCATGGAAAGCACCACGGAAATCATAGTCTCACCAAACTGCTCAAATATGAATTACTTGATGTGATACAAAAACTTACTACTCGTGCTTGTGCTTGAGCTCCCGTGGTTCGACATAATCTTCTGAGATCGAACTTCGAGGTCAGTCTAACACCCATGATTTTGTATTTGTTCAAGAAGTGGACATAGAGATCACCAAATTTTCCTGCTGCTACCACAACATTAACACCATTTTCAGCCAGATCTTTTACAACAATTTCTACTTCGGCTTCTTCGCCAGCACTAAATTTCAGTAGTTCATCAGCACTTTCCAATAAAACTGTGCCCTGAAAATTAAAATTTACTGGGTCATATAAGGTTCATACATCTGTAGAAGTTCAAAACATGACTATGACATTGTCTAATGTTGAGAGTTTACCCAACTGAATTTTAATAATTACTATCATCGATAACTGTATAAGTTCTTCTTTTAATCACATGTAGAGCTAAATCTTATAAGCAATATCAAAGATATGCCTGCAGTAAATTACTAGATAAACTTGGCAACACCGACATTTCCTACCAAAAAAAGTTTACACATCCGGAAAATTTTGACTAAACATCTCACGAAATATACAATTGCCATTATTATTACCTTCGTTTCTGTTTGTGTCAGATCAAATGGGCAGGTATACACAACGATTCGGGCTTTATCCATTTTTTTGACTTCACCCTCGGCTCCACGTAGGAAAATCATTCCATTCATGGTTTTTGAAGAATGAATAGATGAACCAAGGATTTTGCATATGCGGATATTATCCACATTGAAATTATATGTGTTCGTTGGTACAATTTGAACTAAAACCAACTTTTAATACTATAAGAATTGATCATCTGGCGGACTTATTCGATTATGAAATCATGTGATATACTGCCTACAATCTTCTATTACTTCAAGAATCAGCCTTTTTATATTATTCTAACATATATTATTTTACCGAATCATTGTTGAATTTAGATTTCGACCAACGGTGCCTATTCATATGTCTTATATCATCAAGTGATTTCATTATAATATGCAATATAAAAGACCTACCACAAGCTTTGGCAACTAGATGTGTAATAAAATCAACATTGTCGTATTGCTTTGACATAATTGGCGACTTCAGATACTTCTGCACCACTTCGACATCTCGAAGATTCTCAGCCTTCTTAACGACTAGTGATGGCAATATTTCCAATGTTTTGTCTACCGCACTCTCATACCCATCAGCAATCTCAGAAGGGCTCAAACCCTATAAATTTTGAAAATTGAAATTGTCTCTTATCTGTGACAATGCAATGTCTGTTGTCTATGCACCGTCACTTGCACACAACAAATCACACAGATTTCTTGTCTTTCATTTATTCTTTTGATTTATTTACTCGCCTCGCCAATTTTTGGATCACTGCTGAAAAGCAGTATAAGGGAAAGAATTATTAACGAAGAGAATCTCACCAGTACTAAAACGCATAGATCATTTTCAATCGATCTCGAAGTCTGCTAATCAAAAGAATGCTAGTACTATCAAGACTCCTAGAGTGCTTTTACTGTTATCGATAAGCTTTCGCTTGATTGTTTATTATAGCTCTATATACAACTTGTACTACCAATTCATAACACTCAACTTAACAGTTAACTAATATCTACCTAATAATCCCGACAAAGAAACAAACATGACTGTAAATTAGATCCAAATGACTACCATGTTCAACAATTGAGAAGCGTGTTCCAGCAATGCAGCACCGAAAATAACAACTGTATTCGTGCCATCACCGATCTGTTTCTCTTGCATTTGAGTTGCCATAACAAGCATTTTGGCTGCTGGATGTTGCACTTCAAGTTCTTTTAGGATAGTTCCAGCATCGTTCGTTACAAACAACTTCTCGATATGATTGATCATCATTTTGTTCATACCTATACATCTGCGCCATATGTTATTAAGTTCAATAACGGCTAAGTTTAGCTGTACCCAAATTCTCTTCATGCTTAATTTTACTATTAATTTGTATTTATTGACTAAATTGTCACAAGATCATACCATTTGGCCCAAATGCTGATCGAATCTGAGAAGAGAGTTCTACGCATGCTTCAATATTACGTTGTACAGCTTCTTCGGTACCTTTGAAATGCTGAAAATTATCCAAAGTATATAATATATTCAAAAAAGAAAAAACACTAGAAGACCAAGAGGAATAATGCTTTATAAGAACAGGGATCAAAACAGAATAATTTGCAAACTCTTTGCAATAATTACCTGTGCACCTTCTTTTAGGAAGCGAGCATATCCGGATTTTGGAATAACCATAGCCATCCTCCTGTTTGAAAAAAAGCAAATAAAAATTAGCTGCAATAAAAGTACAGTACAGAAAGATCCACGAACATATGCCACCTTCCACGCCTTAAAAACGGTCCATATCAACCCCATTCCCACCTCAAATACGCTCTCACACCCCCCATCTCAACAAGCACTTCATTATCCCACCCCATCGGCCGGACAAACCGTAAAATACTGCTCAGCCCGTGGCATATTTGGGTGAAAGTATCCATTTAGATTGGCTGGTGTGTATTCCCGATCATATCCGAGAGAGTGGGCTGTGCTTATCTGTAGTGTGGGTCTCGAACTTTATGCTGTAGTCAGTTTCGCTCCGTTTATTAGGACTGTCATGCGATTGGAATGCGATAGGATCTTTTAACAAATGCATCAACTTGCAAGACAAAATGTGGCACAGAAAATGGATAGGATGAAATCGAATGGATAGAGTCAAGGAGTAAGAGAGGGCCCTGCTTTTGGTCTTGCTTAATACTAATATCATTCGAGCAGTAGGTGATAACTTAATTCTATAGCTGTGGAATGAATCAAGAGTGATTCTACCGGATAGTTCTTCCATTAATTTCCAATCTCTACTTCTAAAAGTTCACCTTCTCCTTTGTTTTGTCCATTTACTTTCGCAATATAAACAACATTTACAAATTAGCTGTTTAAATTATACAAATTAGTTATATATAAAAAAGTTTGTATAAAAATACCAAATGCAATAAGTCATGGAACTATCTGACACGAGTTGGTGCAAATATTTCACAATACTTTGATCAGAACGTCATCGTTAAAGTTACAAATAAAGGGCAAAGTTACAAATAAAATACCACTTGGCTAATTTCAAATATTTCGAAATTCATTGGCAGAAACTAACTAATCGATGTTGGCGGTCGTTTTTTTTAAAGAGAAGAGCCCGCTTTGGAATGTGCGAAGCTGTAGGCTATTGTGACTATCAGCTTGAGGTTCTCTATGATTTGAAGCTTTCCTTGCAGCGTATAAAGCAATTTACGAAATATTGGATGAGATTTAAAATCTTTTCCTTTTGTTTCTCCATTTAATTATACCATTATGGCATTTAAAAAAGCTAGAAATAGAAAAGCTTTCAAATTATTGTCGGACTGCTAGAGGATTTTACCTATTTAGAAGTTCCGAAAAAAAATAAATGGAAGAGGATTTTAAGCATAAATTAGCTTTTCATCAAAAATGTCATTGGAATACTTCAGAAATAGGACAAGAAATACGGAAACATTTTGAGTTCCGGTATGCGTAATACAATTAAGTATTGGGAAAAAAAGAATAACCATATGTAGTATAAAAGTCACCAATATAAGCTATTAAATTGATTATTAACAATGCAAACTACGATCCCAAGGTTTTTGTATGAAATCAATCCTCAGTAAGTTCAGTCAAATCAACAGCTTTCTCTCTCATGCATAATTTAATCATTTAACCGAAAAAAAAATCGGTGTTACTGAAATCAACATAATCACTCAATCTATTGATTTGATATTATTAATATGATAAAGCACAATGTCTATAATCTATCTTTGTTTAAAATAATTTTTTTTTACTTTCAATAGATCCGGAGAAGAAATGATATCTTGAATAATTGCTAAAATGTACATAACTATTGAATCTTTCTTTCTTTCTCATATTCATTATTTATATTGTTTGTATGAAATTGATTCATTGAGATAAAGACATTTTATTTTTACAAATTAGATCGGGGAAAATTAGGAAAATACATCCAACCGAGTGCATTGACTATTTATTTGTAATAGTGTAATTCTAACAATGGAATAAGTGTATTTGGCATATTTGGCACACAAATACAAATGGTTAATTTTCCCAGTTATCCCGTGGTAATCATATCCGGACAATTCTGATTCAAAAATTACAAAGCTCTTATTGTAACATATAAATTAGACCGATGTAACCATTGCATTATTTACAATGCTTTTATCATAATAGGTTTTGAACAGTAAGAGCAGTATGTACAATAAAAGATAAATCATAAATTTGGAATTTAAATCAAATCCTTGTTCAGGATGGAATTAAAATCAGAAACAGAATATCGGGAATGGATGTATGCGAAAGAGCACAATGGACATTCATTTGATGCATCGCTATATATTATCATAATTGTTGAAAGAAAGCTGTCGTTTTATTTTTATTTGTTGGCTTTTATATTTCACGAAACATACAAATATGAGAGAAGAATTTCCACTACATTTTTGATGTTTGACAGTTAAAATAAATTACAACAAATACGGAGCTAATGAAAATCTGAAGTATTTTTCGCCAAATGTCTTCTGTCGATTTTCATAAGCCAAATATGAAATAAATTGCGAAGAGCTGATTAGCCAGCTTCATCGCGTAACCTGAATAAAATTTCTTCCGTGCCAACAATAAATTTTATTATTTGGTTAATTTCAAAATTTCACTGATATTTCCTATTGATAAGCAGAAAAAGTGTACTTATTCTAAGTTTTAAAAATTAACTTATTTGAGGCTTTCTACACCGAATGATTGAAGTAGTTCAAATAATGCGGCATTGCATGATACTATTTTGAAATAGCAGAAGGCATTGAAGAAGTGTAAAAATTTATGATATATTCATTGAAACTAACTCATTTGAGGCATACTGCCAATGCTTTCTACACTCGCTTCAGTCATAGTGTCTTCAGCATCAGCATCCTCATCGCGAATTGCAGTGATCATTATTTGTTCTACTGGTAACTCTTCTTCCGTTTTTTTTGCTTCTACTTTTGCCTCTGTTTCCATTTTTGCCGTTGCTTCCACTTTTGCTGTTGTTCCTATCGTTGATCCTGCTATTTCTGCTTTTGCCGTTGTAACCTTTTCTACTTTCCCAGCAGTCGTTTTATTTTCTTTACTTGTGATACTTGTGCTACTATCCCCATAACTTCCACTTCCGCACATCAAAATGAACATGATGAAGAGAGCCGTTGAAAATGCCATCTCTCCGCTAGTGAATAATGAGTGATCAAATAAATTAGTCCTTTTTATATTCCTAATTGTTCATCAAATTTGCATTGACTGATGAAAATAATAATAAATTACTTGAAAATTTCCATAATACATATTCATCCCTAAATGCAATTCCTGAAGTGACGACATCAGTTTTAAATTTTAGAGCTGATAAATTTGTATTAAAAAAAATTTTCAAATATATATGAAGAGACCGTAAATTTTCTTTATTTATACCTTCTGTTATCCGAAACAGCGGTTGCTTCTCACAACAGTACCATTCTTCATTAAACACATGGCAGTTACTAATGAGGGGTTTGATTATGACATCTTTAAAATCCAGAAATTCTTCATCTTCCAGTTTCAAATTTTTGATTCCTAGAAATACTAAAGATTCATGCAAAATTGTGGAAGAATATCGATTTCGTGAAATCCTGCAAGTGTAAACTATCTATGGGAAGGAATCGAACTTTTTATCCTACCATAGCACTCTTCAACTCTTTAATACTTAATTCCATTGAAAATTTTTTCCAGATGGAATGCCATACTTATGCTATCATTCTTAAGCCTTATACCATTTGCCGCACTGTCTATTTTCCTAGCTATTTATTTCGGCCGAACCAAACGAGCCCAAATAATGGAGCAACAAAATACTATTGCATCATTTGGTCAGCAAGTAATGTTTGGTTTTTAATCTGTTGAACTGATCCTTATCATGCTGACCCTCTTAATTCATCACAAAAACTTTAACCATTCCCGCACTTCCTTGGGAATTGCATAAAATAACAGAATGCAAGTTTCTATTTTTCCTAGTCCTTCTTCTATTCTACATAGTGCAACAACATGATTGTGGATTCAAAATTTCAAAATTAAAAAAAAGTTTTTCTGTGGTAATTGCGAAAAAGGATTTCAATTGAAGAAAATTCTCTTAGATTCGTGTAAAATGTGACAGAAAAAGGGTAAGTTTGGTGGACAGTACGCAATCAACACAAAAATCTGTGGATTGTACAGCAACAACAGCGTTCAGCAAGGTGAAACATAGCGATATCCAAACTGATACTAATGGTACTTCTTCAAATAACAAAACTAAGAATTCCTGGTCAAATAAGAACTGCTTCGGAAAGCTTCAGAATCTATAAACATCAAGAAGCAAAATTTGTAAAGCAAAATTTCTTAATAAGTGTGACCTGGTGCAACCATAAAATCGTTTTACTTAACAAGTAGGATATTAATTCACTTGATACATTTCAAATTGTCATTAAACTTTCCTTGCGTTAGATTTCAAATCTCCAAAAAATTCAACGATAAATGAGGAAACGGCTCCAGCAGTACTACCACCAAATACATAATATTATATTGGAATATCCATTTCAAGAATGAGGAATTAAAAAAGATAACAAAAAATTTTTTTCTTGAGCACAAAACTTTAATTTACTTATCATGCAAACAAGTTTCAAATACACTCAGGATATTATTATTGAGATGAAATGATTGAAAGTTTTGATAAGAAAATTTGATGATAGCAATAGTAGCAGTAGTAGTGATAAAGTTTGGAGTAATAAGGAATGAAATTAAGCAGATGACAATTATACTTTGAATTATTAAGTTGCGTGATTAAATCATAATCAAAGTATATAAAATACCTATATTTTTATTTCAATACAGAAAATTCGCCTCCTCTCGGTCAGATAAACTAGTTTCAGCCATAAATGAGAAACAGGATACAATTCGTGAAAACATCTTAAAAGACATACCACCTGAGACCATGAACATTTCCATGGGAAAAGCAAGTATTTCTTATTAAAAATTGCAATTTTAGATTATATTTTAATATGAAACTTCTAAAGACGAAATTGGATCAGATAATACATACATGTCTTCAAATGACTATAACCTCAAGTGACTACACTCACAACATGAGGTAGTTTAGTTGGAATTTTTTAGAGAAGTTATACTGTTGAAATCTATTGTAATACAGGGAGAGAAAACAGGAAATGATACAAATGGAAGTCAACCATTGCACCAAATCACGTATGTTACGCATAATTTGTTACGTATTAGAGATAATAAAGTTGATGAGGGATAAAAAGATGCTTCATCTAGAACGCTTTTATTCAATTCTAAAACCTTTAACCTTTAACGTACGAATTATTCACTAAGTTACTTTCATCTATATGTTGATTTTCATAAGATACTTCAGTTTTTTGCAATTCCTCTTCGCATTTTTCTATCTAATCATGCAGTGATTAATCTTTCTTTAAAATGCAACACAGTCAGCTGTTATCAGGTATTATACTTCAGTTACCAATTCTTGTACTTCAGTTCAACATCATTCAATAGAAGCTTAATATTAACCCCAGAAATACCATTAATGGATTGGAAAAGTGCTCAAAAAACTGTTAATAATTTTTCGCACGAATTAGTTTCATCTCATCCGATGTCAAAACATAACCTTTCACAATCAACAAGGTTTGCTTCTTGGTATTAATAAATTAATAAATTTTTGTCATTATTTGTTGTATTGATCTTTAGCATAATTATCATCCGTTTAAACATGATATTCAGTTGTGTTATCTAAGAATGGAAGAGTATAATTTTTATATCATTAACATAAAAACACTAATATTTTCCAATGTTTCGTCATCCCAACAACTCTGAAGAATTATTCGAAGAGTTTATTCATGTTATTCACTAAATTCGTAATTAAAATTGCGTAGGTAACATTGTCCGAGAACATTTTCAGGGAACTTTTCCGGCAATTATTTAGAAAATAGGGAATATGAATAATTATTGAAGCGATGAAAGAATTTAATGATTTTATATTAGGTAGGATAAAAATTATCCTACAATTCTACAAATTGCAATAAGTTCGAGAACCCCCTGACAATAGCATTTTTCTATCTAATCATGCAGTGATTAATCTTTCTTTAAAAAAGACCAAAAGATGTTTAACATTGGGAGAAATTATTGATAATGAATGAGTGGAGGGAATTCCATTATATCACGAAATAACAATAATTGATAAGAGGATATTTTGGTAGTGAAATGAAAGCAGGTAAAAGTGAAATTTACATCTCGGATTCGGCTAATACTGTCAGATAGCAAAATCTCTATTGAATACAAAAGTGTTCATGCAAATAACAATGTTGTATGCCCTAATAAGTGTATGTCCAGAAATCCACGATTGATCATCGACACATCCAGTGGAACACTTTAACGTTAGACAACATGAGTTAATCAGTCTTTCTCTCTTCGTTTCAAAGTTAGAAAAAATCATTTGCACATCTAAATCAATATTGAAAAATTTCAAGAAACTCGACGGACGAGAACTCTGAATATATAGAATTTACAATTCCGGAGTTCGAAACGAATATATCGAAGTCGCTGATGACTGAAGGTTCATTGTTTTCCAAATTTGCATTGCTAATCACCAAAGATCATTACTCTGTTAATTGTAATCGAGAGATAAGATCATCAGGATAGATTTTTTAGGCAAAGCAATTTTCTACTAACACCACAAATTCCAAACTTAATGCCGACTTATAATACATTATTACTATGTGCAGTTTTATCTCAAAGTCTTGATGGAAAAATATAATGGGGTTTTTAACCACAAACATCGGTTGATAAATGATGAGTAAAAAAACATCAATTTATCTGACAAAATCAGCAACAAAGTAAAATTATACTGTAGCATGTAATAGAAGCAATCTAAAATTCTTCAGGGACAGTGCAGATAATGAAGGAAAAAAACATCATCATTGCAATTCTGCATTCTAAATGCCAACATCACAAATGCCAACCGTCCTTCCTTTCTCTGAAACGGTCATAAGCATACCAATTCGATTATCACTATCATGACATATGAAAATTGCATAAATTTCAGAGTGTTAACAAACAAGAACGGGAGAAAAGTGCATGTTCTTTTCCCATCAAATTATATTTTGTGCACACCAACGAATGACCAACTAATGGTTTGTTTCAATATTCAAATAAAAAATACATCAAAATCGTAATATACACTATTAATGACATTACAAGTGAAAGAAAAAGATGGAGAAATGAACCATACCAAGAGTCTTGTCTAGAGAAGGTTTCAACATTAAGTTTATGAAATGATACGCACGATAAATATACATCAAGAATGTTTACAAGTTCTCAATAATGCATATGTACTAACCTGAATATTTCTTTCATTACCATTACAATACATGTATTATAGCTGAAAAATTCATTACCAGAAAAGTAGAAGACAAAGAGCAAAAACCGATTCATCCAAAGTCAAAAAGGAACCACCGTAGAATACGCGAGCTCACTTAAAAAATAAAAAAATATCCAAAAATATTCAAAGTTAGATTCAAGTATCAAATAACATTCAAAACCGAAATATCAGATCAGTAAGAGTAGCAGAAGAGATTAAATATGATAAATGTTACCTGAAAACATAAGAAATGGATTTTCATTTAAACCTAGATATCAAGTGTCGCACAACTTTAAAACAAACGCATCAGATCGATAAGGATATTGGAAAGGGTTAAATATAATAAACATTTCTGAAAACATCTGAAATAAATTTTGGAACAGTACACAATGCGAGAATTATTCTCTTCGCCTCGTTTTTACACGTGCTCCAGTAGTACTTTCACTTTCGTCGGTTGTGTTGCTACTTACATCAGATGTACGCTTCCGCTCTGATCGGACACTCTGAAGAACACTATTTTTGCTTAGACATAACTAGTTATTTTGCGATGCTAGAATTTGAAAGCTCACAACAAATGTCATTACAAGAATGCATGGAAAAATTTTTCCTATATTTTGTCTTTGTGTTTTTTTGTCAATAGCTGATTGTCACTACAAGTCAAAAAATATTTTCATTATCTTAGAATACACACGCAGTGAAGGAAATAGTATCATAGTACTTTAAATGTTCGCGATGAAGGACAATAATGGTGACACATGCAGTCTATAATAGAGAGCACTGAGAAATCCTCTCATCACTCGATTTAACTATTTTCTGATTAAAAATTAGAAAGTCGAAATATGTAAACTTTACCGACGTTGAACAGGTTGGACTATTCCCCCAGTTCGACTGCAAATACCTTAGCAAAAGTGGTTTCATATCGAAAACTATTCGTTTTTCATCATCCGACTGTTCAGAAATACGAGCCACCACCGGCTTTCCATTCTAAAAATAAAAAAAGAAATCACAATCACAGCAAATAACCATAGCACAGCGTTTAATTAAACACTAGAATCCCAATAAAAGCAAAAACTTAAATTACTTGATAGAGCAATAGCAGGAAATGATTTCCCCAATAGCTACTTTTTCTGAAAGATGAAAAAAGCAATATGTTGGGCTAAAACACAGTAAGTACCAAAACCAGACTATCTCGACCACTGCTGAACATTATAATCACTTTATAATGCCTTAATGAATTTCAATTTGTTTTGCAAATTTCATGCTGCGGAGTAAACCCGCCTTTAAGGTTAACTTCCCACCAACTAATCAATAAACAATAATCTAGTCACCTGCTTCAAGAAAGACGAGAAATTAGCTTTGTCGCGTGATGGTAAATCCTTGAGAAAGTCAGCAACAGACATTTCCTAAAAACCAGAAAGTTAATAAAACTGCAGTAATTACAACACTTCGATTAGTTTGATATAAGTAAATATAGAAATAATAAATGAAATCTAATGCGCAATTAATGAAGAGAAAATGGCATTTTGTGACCAACAAAGATCAATATACAAAAGAAGTTTCATTGTGCCAAAATCTATCTCTGATCTATGATATTTGGTTTTTCATAAAACAAGAAAAAGCATATATGTAAACACATAAATCACGGAGAAATGAAATGAATTCTGCAGTACCTTTATCGCTTGTAAGCTATGATATTTCTGTCTAGAGCTATTCTTTCTCTAGAAAATCTCAAAATTGCAAGAAGTCTCGAAGTAACAAACCAAATTTCTAATTAATTATATTGTGATTTAGAAAGTCATGTAGTCATAAATGGAAAATTTTCGACAGTATCATGAAGTGCTCTGGAAAATGAAACCACAAAAAACAAACAAATTTAAATAAAAATTTACTGAAAGCAAGTCATATTATAAAATTACAGCTTCCAGTAATAAAGCCACAAATTCACAATGATTGACAACTTTAATAAAATATATAAAGTACACGACCATTATTGAATTCCGCCTATTATTAATTAGTGAAAAGAATTGTTTCCCCAACTTCATTAGCTAAAAGTAGGAGGGAGTCAACAACACGTCTTGCTTCCACATATTTTCTTTGCATGACTTGAACTGTTTTATATTACTTTTATCAAAGACATTATATGATGAAGTTATTTGCAACTAGAGGAACTATAGAATCTCCCAGACAAATTGAAGCGTATTCTGAAATCAAAGTTTATAAAAAAATAGAAATCCGCGCAAATAACTTTTTCCTTACTTTAAATAGTCTTCAATTTAACGGTTTAGAAATTTACGAAAATCCATGTTATCAGTTACATTCAAGCAGCTTTGAGAGAAGTCAATCGATATACTAAATTAGCGATTTTGATTCCGATTAAAACTATTCAGTTGACATGATTCTATGTTCCTCCGTATTCAAAAGGCCTTGAAGAGGTTTATATCCGAAAGACTACAACAATTCCAATACTAAGTTGGTAATGTAAAACTCTTAACACGGCTCTATTATCTAGATGCAAAACTGGAACGAACAGTACACAATTCAGCAATCATATTGCACGAAAAACACATCACCGAATACGGTCAAACGTCATCGACTGTTTCCAGTTTGATCCCGCTTTCTCCAGGTTTGAAAGGCGGCAAGCCCCAATATGGACAGGTTGAACAGCGGAATGCATCGCCAAGACCGCACTAAATTAAAACACAAAAATTTCGATTTATTCTAGATTTTTAAAAATTATCTTTGGATAGCTTTAATGTCGAACCTCGAAATAATAACAGTCGTATATTTTACATTCCTAATATCAAACCTTGAAGTTTTATTTGTAATAGATAAACTATAGCAGCATAATATGGATAATTAAAAACCAACATTCCCACATGATGACTTGTCAGGTTTTATTTGCGCTGTGACTTTTTCAGACTCTATTATCTCAGCCAAGCCACAGGTACAGTTTTTACATGGTCTTCTTTTCTTCACTTCACCCGAAGAGTTGAAATTTCCTTTGAGATTTTCTAAAAATCTTATAAAATATCAAGATATTACTTCACAGCCAACAAAAAGTGAAAGGCTCATATTACCTTTTGCCATTGCCGTAGTAGGTTTAGCATAATCTTCTTCCTGTAACAGTGCGTCTTCATCAATCAAGTCATCATCGTTCACATCTATGTTCCAAATATTCGCTTTCTTATTTGAGGGCGATAATTTCAGAGGCACTGTAGCACCCACAGTCACATTTGGCTGAAAAATATCAACATCAGTTAGATTAAAAACAGCTAACTATCCCCATTAATAAAAAGTAAAGGAGCTGCTAAATAGATGCGCCACAGGCAATGCTAATAATCACATAATGTGACTTGTATATTTCAAACATGGTCACACACGACATAATTCAAGCACTCCTTGCAGTATGAAAAAATAAACTAAAGGAGTTACCACGACAGTGAAAGCATAATTAACAAACGGAACAGAGACTAAATTGGTTGGCAAACATTTTCTAGAAAATGGACCTTTGTAAGCAAGTCAAATTATATTCTCAATAACACGAAACAAACCTTTTCGCAATCATATGCTCTCCATACGTCATTATGAACTTTCATGGCATGCAGAAATCCAGCTAGCTTAATTTCCCGTAAAACTTTTGCTTCATCATCGTCTAAAAGTCTGCGGTTAAGAATACGCCACAAAGAAACACACCAATGAGAAATAAAAATTAAATAAAATGAAATGAACTGCAACCAAAGCTCTGCAGTACAAGACTTACTTCGCACAATTACTCTCACGGTAGAATTAGGCTTCGCTGCTAGAAAAGCCAATTGGAGTAAGCGCTCAAGCGCAGCACCAAATGTAACAATGATAACAGCATCATATATTTTCTCTTTGATGTCTACCTCTAAAAAATTGATAGGACGTCACTGAACAACAACGATGAATTTATTTCATTATCTAATATAAGTGATACTTATCTTAATTTTCAGTCAAATTTAATCTAAAATTCCTAAGCAAAAAAGCATGCTTGAATGTTTTTAATTTCAAGTCTTATTTGATTTGAAATGATTCTCACGAAAAATGACACACAACGCAACGCTTTCTGACCAGATTATTCAACTTTTAAAACCTTCATCTCGAGGTCGTTCACGAAATATTCTACTTTTTGTTATAACTTCAGTATTTCAAGCATATTCCATATTTAAATGTGAAATATTAATGACAGTCAGTAGTAGATAAGAAAGGATGGCACTACAAAACAGTATAGGAAGAATTACATGAATTCAAACGTATAACCATCAAAAAAGTAAAGATGAAAGTGGGAGATAGCAGAAAACCAACCAATTTGTTTGTCTTTTGGAGCAAATACAGTTAGTTTCTCAAATCGCGCTTTCAATTGCTCTATGCTCGCACTAAAATTATCGAGTGTCTCTGGAAAGAACGAACGTGTAGCATATTTAAAGATCTAATAAGATAAATGAATTATTGAACCTTCGCATTACGCTTTGATCATGAAGAAAAACGTAGGTAAAATCATAAGATGTGTAAAAATGTATATCAGAATATCTTGGATCCAGTTTCTTCCGGTAAAAATACAAATTTTCTTTCTATGGCGTTTAAATAGACATTTATGCCTCTCTCCAGACAATTGTGAAAATTTGAAGGTATACACTAATGTAAAGATGTACTAGAAGATCAGTTTCCAAATTCTCCCTAAATTTTTGGAGACATCTATTCTTCATCCAAGTTCTAGTTTCCCATACCTTTTCTACAACTTATCCAAGTAAATTGAAAACTTCAATTTTGTATTTCAAAGTGGACCTTATCACAAAGTGACGGTGAGAAAATGGTATCACAATGTTCCAGAAAAATTCAAGTTAGAAAAATTAATTATAAGAATAGTTGTCTTGCTGGATATGTGATGACAACATAATGTCAAAATGGATAGGGTTAAGATTTCGAGTAAAGAAATTTCGAGTAAACCAGCATAAGAAAGTGCAAGATATAGCATTGTTAACTTCCTTCGCTACACACCAGAAATAGACACCCATTACCATCTATAACTTTATGACGGATGACCTAATAAAATTTATCAGAGTCACCTCAAACAAAAAAATACCGAAAAAATACCTTCTGAGTTTACTTCATGAAGGAGTAGGATTTCTGAATCCGGATCGACCGTACTAATGAGACGACTCAAATCCATCTGAAGAACATTAACACCTATTAGGATGACAAACATTCAAATAGCATTGGAGGTGATAAAAAGCCGACAAGAGAGATTCCGAAAACTAGGCAATCATCTAAGGCTCTCTGATTTGGACACGACAGGAAGTTTGCAATTTAGGCAATAAAAAGAATTGGAAGAAATAAGGCAAAAAAACAACTTACCAAGCACAGAATGTTATAATTTTCAATATATAGGGAACCATACCACTGTTTAGTGAATAATGAAAGATAAAATGGTTTAAAAATATTTATGCAAAAAAACAAAACAATTTGAATGGTCGAAAGACTATAACAATTCATAACTTGAATAATTCCAGGCAGCCGGAGATCATTATGTTTTATTGTAAAAATCCAAAGCAACAGCTCAATAAAATTAAAATGTATAAAAAAGTAACTGAATATTCAGAATGATTGAAGAAAACAGAACCAAAATTAATGAAAGAAGAACCGCGGTTAGGTATCACTATTCGGTACAAAGAAAGAAACAAAAGCAAAGATTGAGACAAAAAATTGCACTGTTTATTTAAAGGAAATGATAACATTCTGAATTAACAAAAAATTCAAATACAAGATAAACATTATAGAAAATAAATACAACGAACAGATTAAAAGTGATAGTCTCATAGAATTTTGGGAAAAAATTATTCCTTTGCTGTAAAGAAATCTTTAGATATGGATTGGCGGATCAGCTGATGGAATAAAACTTTTGATTAACTGTAATTAAACTTCATAAAAATATTTCTTAAAAACAACATTTCTTTTAAACTAAGGAAACAGCGGTCAGAAAGTCAGTGCAATTTACAAATGTATTGAACCATAAAATCGACCCAGACGATATAACTAAAATAATTTTCTAACACTGATCTCATCTAACAAAATCTATCACAATTTTAATAAAGTTTTTGTAAACAGTATAAAAATGTTGAAAGTAAGAGTTGTTAGGAAATTTATTTTCTAATGGTAATATTTCAAATTAAGTAATTAAGGTCATTGGAAAAAATAAAAAATTGAAGATTTTTAAAACTTCTAAAAAACTTTCAGCAACATTCTACGCACCTTCTGCTTCTTTATCAATGTTTTCACCACCAATTACTTGTTTTCTATCACTATCATTACCATTTTCTACATTCTTTTTTATCTGATCCTTCTTCTGAATGAACGGAAATTGTTCATTCATGCCCACAACGTTATTCAGCTGAACTTCTGAAATGGTGCATACTTTTCATAAATTTCATCAGTTCCAAAAACAAAAATCAAAATAATACACTTTTTGGTACCAAGAAACAATAATCTATGAGAAGGTGAAATCAGGTTCTCCTGATTATATTTGTAAAGAGAGATTTTGAAAAGCAAACTAGGAATATTTGGGAGCATTGGATTCTCCTCTTTTTTGGCCTCAAGTGATTGTTTTAATTGTAGAGGTGAGGACAGGAAATTAAGTTGATCGTGTTGCGCATCAATTCCTGAAAATCAACCTCCATGAAGTTCAAAAACAAAACGTTTTGAAAAATTACTGGTCAACTGGAAAATAATCTGTTAATTCTTCTATAATAGCTATTTCGAAACTGGAGGTGAGTCCAATTACAGTTTGCTTCATAATTCCCAAACTTGAGAAGAGTACTAAGTAAAACATCATCTAACCACAGCGATAGAACTGGTAATAAAAATAGACAAAATAGTGCATCATAACGTACGCGGGACTGAAGCGGCATGAACTGTAGCAACATGAGGATTATTACTAGACTTTACCGTGACAACAATACGTTCCGGAACTCCGAGTGCGACAGGCTGTGGCAAGACGGTTTTTTGTTGGGACAACTGAAATCATTTACTAATCAAGATTATGAGAAAAAGTAATTATGTTATTAAAGTATTATATCTCTGCAACTTATTAAGTAAAAATTTGTAGATCATTATGCAGAAATTCTCGAAGAACAATTTGAAATTCAAAGTGTATGTCGTAAAAAAAGAAAATTCACATTTACTGTGGAAGCACTGGGAGATTGACTATGCTCAGTTTTATTTGCCAATTTTTCACGTTGAACAGAGATATTTTTGCGATTTGTTAGTCCATTAGCACTTTGAGTTATTACCAATGGTAAAGCACTTAAATTGGAATCCTGAGAAATGTCTTCCTCCACATCTTTTCCTTGCAACTGCGCTTTCAAACTGAATTAAACTGACGAACTTTAAACTAAGTGGTAATCTGTAAATGGTTATTTGTATTTATAAGCAAAGTGGAATTAAAAACAATAAATTTTCATTTTATTTTGTATGCTCTTTGTCCAGTTATTTATAAATACAACGACTTACAAGTTCCAAGATTTTTATCATTGTGCACTTAAATCATGCTCTTTGAACAGATTCGTTGTCAAATTCTGTATAGTACTTGAAAAGAAGAATCGTATAACCCGTATTCGAAACGATTGAAAATCATAAGTTTAACGAATTTGATTCAAAAGAAATAAAAAAGAAACAAAACCTTTCAACAGTTTTCTTTGGTGCTTCTAAAACACTCTCCATCAAAGCAGAATTGGTTCGCAGATTAGTGAGTGTTAGTTTTGCCAGCGCCTAAATTTGGGCAAATATTATTCGAATACAAACAATTTATAATTTTCAAGTTTCTACCTTAATAATAAATAGTTGTCAAACTAAATATATGAATGTAACATTCGATAAGTGGTAACTTGAGCTTCTCCCTGGAGGCTTATACATAGTGCAGACGTACCATTATTGGCATAATGCATAACACGAAATCCCTTGATGATTATCTAATGAATTAGTGACATACCAATTCAGCTTTCATTAAATCCAACGAGGTGAAACATGTGCTGAAAATTTGAATAAATTACAAAGAATTTGGTGTTTAAAAGCATCTAGTAAAAATGATAAGAGAAACAGTGTAAAAACCGGCAAGATGTATCCTTTACGGCTTAGGATAGATAAGAAAACTTTTTTTTCTTTTCAACCAATAAGCACATTTAATAACCAACAAATTAATCAGCGTATGAAATTGAGAGAATCGAATTAAGAATTGACATCTCTAGCTATTTTCAAGCAGCTCCGTTTGCAACTTTTTCGTGAAATTGCTGCATTAGTTAAAGCTTGCACCGCAATTTTTACTTACCCATAGAACTATTCTACTAAAGTTGTTATCAAACAATTGTAAAGCATTACATTTTTATGGAAATGAGCAAAAACTAGGGAAAAAAAACAAACTTTTTGTCGTTCTGAAGCTGTTTTAAATTTATCATGTAAGATAACAGGGTACTATCCCGTTTCGCCAATTTTTCACTGCATTCTATAAAAGATCAACCATTAACACATTACATTTTATGCAAAAATATTATTTTGCATAGAGCTTTAAAAAACAAAAATTCTGAAATTACCGTTCTATTTCATAAACTTCTCATTTTAAAATATTACAAAATAAAAAATTTTAAAATGTTACAAAAGAATTTTAAAATATTACAATTTTAAAATATTACAAAAGAAAATTACTTGCCAAATTTGCGCTATCTTTTTCATCTCCAGCCACAAAAAACTTCTAACTTCGTGAAAAAAAAATAACAGAAACAAATATTTGGAATTACCTTTTTGGCTCGAATGCATAGCTTGCAACTCATTTTTCAAATTAATTTCCGAGCTTTTGCATTTTTCCAGCTGAGCTTTAAAATCTGAAAATATGAAAGATTGATGAAGTGTTTTCATGCAAAGTGGAAATCAAGAATGATGTATACAAACTGAAGATCACAAAGATAATCAATCACACATTCAAATGAAGACACTCTACACTTCAAGCCAATAAAGATTAAGTTATAGAGTGATTGAATAATTTAAAATTAAACGCTGAAATCTAATGTGCTCAATTACCCAAGATATGTAACATGACACATTAATTTGTACCAACCAATGTTCTCCGACTTCACTTTAATATGACGACTCCTTTCAAATTTTATTTGATTACGCATATCGTACAGCTCCGCACTCTGAGCTTGATAAATGTTGAAAATGAAGAAGAAAAACAGAAGACCCATTAAGAAACCTAATAATGGTAAATTCCGGAATATCGGCCCATCATTGGTTGCTGTAACCGGTCTGAAAATTTACATCTTTTATTGAAATATAGATATTTCTTAAAATTATTCATTCAACCCCTCAACACTTTCGATAATCGCTAAATGAAAAACAATATAATTTCAAATGCTGCTCAATATCATTTTATAGTTAAATGTTTTGGTTTGGGGACACAGGGTCACGGTTTTTCTTTTCATACACATTGCTCGGACAAGGGAAGTATTTAGTTGAGAGACTATCAGCAACAAAATGAAACTATATAAGTTCGCATTCATGGGTTATCTGAAAAGATCGATATTTAAGCACATGAATTGACCATCGACTCACCTCAACAGTCCACGTCTTTGTCCACTATGTCCTGAATACATCTTACGGTTTCCAGCTGCAGTAACTTGTACAGTCACTGTAAAAGACAAGCTTAAAATTATTATATCACGAGATCTATTCGTCTCATCGTTAACAGTAGTATTCAGCAAATTTCTAAAAATTAGGCCTGAAAATGCACTTCGCTAAAAAATTCTCGGTAGTTCTTAAAATGAACTTTCTATAGAGTCATGCTTATTATGGAATCAAAATTTTAAGTTTTCGACTTATTGGAACATTAGTAGTAAAAAATTTTGCCATACTCTCACAAACATCCTTTTCATTTCGCCTTATGCAACGAATGACAGATTTTACAAATACGAAATATTAAGCAACACTGATAATGAAGCTATGCAGATTATTTAATCAACATAAGCTGAATAGAACATCTTCAATTTCATTAACATATAGCAAATACTACCTTTACATTCGAGAATAGCTTAAGCTCAATGATGAGACAAGTTACGGAAGATCACATGCTGCTACTGTCGTTATTTATATCAGTACCTCATTTCACTATCATCAATGCTATCGTCATTATCATTATAGCTGTCTTTATACTATTATAACTTAATGTGTCGTTTGCACAGCTCTAATATTTTCGTAGACGGCAAAACCATAACCCAAAATTAGCATCTATGAATTAACGAGGTCTTCTGAACGCTGTTAATACCAAATGTTACTAATCACTAGAGAATTAAGATAGCAATTAAATTACTGAGTTAAACAACTTCATTACAAGTGAAGAGAGTGAATATCAGATAAATTAGCTAAGAAGAGGGAAAGGCAATATACGATAGTACAAATGAAAAATTAGTTCATGTTTAGATCTATTAGATGATAAAATGAGCAAGTCTCATCGGATAGAAACAATCTGTACAATGAAAGTTTGCTGAAAGCAACGATAACTATGTCACATGCATCTTTCAAAGCGATTATAAGTAATAAATAATGATAAACATTACCAGTCAACAACTAATCACCTGAACAGCGGGAAAGAAAATTGACGAGAGAACTGCATCAATTGTAAACATTTAACGAGCCGCTGGTGAAAATGTCTTTCGGGCAAATGGATATGTCCACTGGTGATTGACGATCAGCGGTTGGCAGTCGGATGGGTAGCGGTCATTCATTGCCCTTTTCTTGCATAAGTTTTTCTATGTATCTCTCATTAGAGCGTTGCATTACCGGAGCTACTATTGATTATTCTAGTGTTATGCTAATGTGATTGTATAAGCAAACATTCACACTTCAATTGCGGAGCTTTCGTTAGTCGACATTTAATTAACTAGTTGATATCTTTAATTAGTAGTGGGTGGTATTGCGTGACAAATGCCAGTATAATCAGTAAAGTGCAACGAATGATGTAGCCTTCAGCATGGTTGAAGTGCAATAGTTGTACCTCGTATTAATGTTCTGTGATTATTTATCATTGGTGTTCTTATTATCATTATTATTCTTTTTCGACATTATAATTTTGAATTTTTCGTTTTCACTTTCTAGTAACGTTTCGTACTGTAGATTAACTGCTTTTACAGTTGATAAAGTGATTAGTATTGTTCTCTTACCCACCAGCTACATTTATGAAATCTTCTATTTTATGTGCTTCATTTAATTTGTTAACTTTTTAAACCTATATTTATGTCAGTTTTTGCGACTTTACTGCAGTTGCTTATGAGAATGTCACTGATTCTGTCATATCTTGGCACTCGTTGTTGATTGGTTTTTCAATTTTTGTTTGATAGGAATTGTGCTCAAATTAGATCCTGTGTTAGTAATGTTAAGTCTTTTATTGGTTAGATCTTTAATATAATCAATTTTATTTTTCCATCTGTGATTTGAAATGAATGTGCATATATTTTTTCATCATTATCGTTATCTCAACATCCAAAAATTATAGATAGACCCTCGCATTTGTTGACAGAAGGGTTGCTTGCAGGATGGATTCAAGCATTCGAGAAACATCTGCACGAGCAATAGCAACTGATTTTCTTACTCGTTTAAGGAAGAAAGGAAGCGATGAAGATCGATTTAAAGTTGCCAGACAACTTTATAAGTAAGGAGCTTTCTTTTTTGGGTTTTTTTTGCTATGAATTATCCCATACATGTAGCAAATTGAAATTCTAGACTTGAGCTAAAATATGAAAATCTGAGATTTCTGAAAAGAATTTCTTTTTACTTTTGCATGCGACTGCAGGTTCTTTTGCATATGCATAATACATTAGTCAAGTATTCCTGGTTCTAGAAATATACAAATCGATAGCCAGGAAATCAAAAAGAACAAATTTAACTCAAAGTGGTTTCATAAAAGAATAGATAATTGTTTATTAAATCAAACTTTTATAGTTATATAAATGGAGAATTACGTGATAACAGTGATCAATTTACAGTTGAATTTTTTGCAACATTCGATGCAAAAGTTGATCAGGTTGGAAGCACTCGTTAATTTTTGATTCAAAATTTTTCGGAATGTTGGTATTGTGTTTTTAAACCATCAACTTTTTATCTTGAATTATATAGTGTAAACTGTCAGTATTTTCTTTTTGAAACGAATTATATGATCAAAAAGTTCATCCGTTTTTTATGGTGATTAAATTTTGTTATTTGGTTGAAATTATAGTGAGTTTTTCAAATTTATTCTTCCTTATTAGGAACTGTATTGAATTATGTTTATATTTGATTTTATATGCAGTAGAATTAAAGGAGATTTTTCGTTATGTCAGGCGTATAACGTCATAAGAAAAAAATTGTCTGGTGCTTCCACTCGTTTGTACACATGATGAAATCAAATGTATGTATTATATTTAGTTATGCGTCATGGCTAAATATAAATGAAACAACGAAATAAATCAACGAAACTTTGTTTTTCATATATTTCCAGAGTGCTATACATACGTTGATGACAAGTTTGGACAATGATGAAAGAAAGGCAGGAATAATTTTGATAGGTATCTGATGTGATATATATTCAAATTTTTATTGATTTTAACAAGTTTACTTCGAGTACATCTTTATATTCTTTATAACGTCTAATAATATAGGAAGATTTCAGCATGTTTGGTAGAAAATGCTGGTGATGAGACGAAACGTGTGCCACGTTTCGCAAAATATCTTCTGAAAGCATTAGTGCAGGGCGATGAAGCCGGCATGAAACTTGTTGCCAGGGCAATTGCTTATTTGATTCAGACATCAAAGACATTCGCTGCTGAACTGGTAGAAAAATCCATTAACCAGGTTACAGTTTTTCTTTTTGTTCCCAGCTCAATTTCCTGTACTACCGATTTCAGGTTTTGGTTACTAGAAGAGTGTATCGATTGTTGTTTTAAAAGTGTTAATATGTTTACAGCAGTTAGAAATATGTCTGTAATGATATAGTTTTTTTGTTTCGATCATCTTATCAAAATATGTGCAGACGAGATACTAAGCTTAATTGCATCATATTAGTAAATATTAAAACATTGTAATTTGAGACATTTGATAGGTGTGTGAATGGCTTGAAGAATCTGAGCGACATGAATCACGTCGTCTTGCTGCAGTTTTTCTGGCGAGACAGTTGGCGTTATATACATCAACATCCTTCTTTCTACGTGCCTCTAATTTCTTTTTCAATATTTTTAAAGTCATCAGGGATCCTAAGGTTTGAAAAAAAGTTCCCAAATTTTTCATAATTTATTAGATTATTTGAAAAAAAACTGACGGTTTTTTGTAATTCGAAGTTCCACAGTTCATTTAAATAAGGCAGTATTCCTAATTATTTTTAAAATAAAGCACTCTATAACAGTATATTCTGTTCGAAGGTTAATTATTAGTCTATGTAGGATTAAGACACATTTTTCTCCTTCGTTGTTTTGATTAATGCTTTCTTAATGTTAGGTTAGTACATTTTAGGCTACAGTACGAATAGCAGCTACTAAGGCTTTGCACGCTGCTCTGACGGTTACATCGCAACGTGAAGCACGTCAGAAATCGGAATGGTATTGGGTAAATTATTTCAAATTTTAGTCTACATTTTGTACTTCTGTAGTTTGATTAAACGAAGACCATTTCTGGAACATCTTCGTTGTCTAACAACAATGTTTTTGACTTCATAAGATTGCAGTTGGTGATCAGAAAGAAGCAACACATACATGTTATATACAGCGAACAAAAATGTGCGTGAAAACACAAAAATAAGTTAACATCAAAGATAAATCTAAACATAATATTTCGATTGCTATAAACAATATATTTTTTTGTTTCGCCGATGAATTTTTGCTTCCTTCAAACACTGGAAAATAAATACTCCAGTATATCCCATTTTCTTTTGGATAATGCTGAATACCACCCACTGTTTTGAAGTCAATATTTACCAACTCAGACTAATTGTATTTGTTAAATACAAAAAAAGTTAAATTGAAACATCGTTGTAATTGTAGTCCATCTTAATTCTGCTTGGATTTTAAATGCAGTTGTGGTTGATATGTGTGTTTACTAACCGATGCTCAGTGTTTCGGTCCAGGAAAGAGTGAAGGCTTTTCTGAATGTTTTTCTGTAATGATTCTGACGCTTCATGGAATTTTTGGAATTATTTTGTAGAATTAATAAGATTGATAGGCTGCTGTTTATAGCGCTGTTATGATGAAGCAATGAATTCATTGAAATTTGATGGTTTGAATCGAGACGAAAGACAACATCCAATGCTTTTGATATTGAATGAACTACTCCGAATTGGTAATGCACCAGCTGAACGTCAACGTATATTGGCGCTCGGTCGCCAACCACAGCAGAATGTTCAAACAGTAATTGGATCAAATGCAATAGATTGGTTGACGGAGCGTACATATTCAGTTACCGTTGATAGTCGAACTGCTAATCAGCTTGTTGCTGAAAAATTTGGTGATGTTAGTATTATAACTGTTTTAATTTTTCTTCTGTTAATGATTTCTGTAGCAAAATTAAATTCATTTTTGAGATTTTAAATTAAATTTAGGGAAAAACATTCTAGAATATAATTAGCTATTCTCGATTGGCATATTCGAGGATGATTCCTCTGCAAATGCTTTATTCATCTTTAAGTGTAAAACAGCTATTGAAAAAAAACTTTTCCAGACGGAGAACTTATAATATGATGGGGAATGTAAAATAAGAATTAAATCCTTAAATTGCTCTATCAAAAATAATTTTATTATGTTGTACACATAATTAATAAATGGTTTTAAGAAAATTGTCTTATGTAAACAGTCATACCTTTTTATTTTGATAGCTCCATTTTTCAGATATATCGTGTGTGCAATCTCGCATGTACTTCACGTTACGTTTGTTGCCAAACAACGTTGCTGGAAATTTTCCCACGTCTTTCATCATTTGGAAAGACGCAAACGGTTGCTTCGAATGAGACAAATATTTTCAATGTTGATATAGCTTCAATGTTCAATCATGCACTAAATTTAACTGCAAAACATTCACCTGCTTTCTTTACTCTTGGTCTTTTGGTACTTGATCGGCCAACAGAATTGCTTTTAAAATTGCCTCGTCTTTTCGCTGTCATACAAATTCAGTTGCAGACTGCAACGTACAAGTTAGTTTTATTCATTCATTATTGATTATTTATATTTCTAAAGTGTGAACAACAAATATATCGTTTATGCTTTGAAAACACTAGAATACAATAACATATGATTGAGCGGATTGAAGCTTACGATCGTCTCTGAACTTTTCGTAGGCCTTTCATTTTCGTTAAATCTTTTTTACTTCATCACCAGTTGAGCTTTTAAAAGTTTTTTTTTCATTCACCTGTTCTCTTGCACCATAATCTTAAAATAATTACAATTGTATTTATGTGAAATAGTAACTTGCTTGTTATTTTTTCCAGGCACAAACCAGTAGATGAATATGTTTTCTTGTGTTTGACATTAATTATTCGAGCGTTGAAAGAAAAAGTAGAATCCGAAATTAAAACGCTACTGCCGATTCTACTGTCAACAGGTTTATCAAAAGGTATTTCTAATTTAATTCTAAATTAATATATGTCGTCTATAATATGCTGTTGATCTTTAAAAAAACATTCTTCGTATTAACAGAGTTTTACGACCAAATAGTCTAATTATCGTATTGAATTTAGAAAATTTTCACAATATATGAGACTGAAAGTATGTTATGGAGAATGAAATTTGAATATTCATGATTATGATTGTGAAAATCTGCGGAAAGATAGACTTTGGCAAAGTCAGCATGAATATATGCTTTTCTTCTAAAGAAAGAGAGATGAAGAAAAAAAATTTGGCTCGCTTTGATCAGTAAAAAAATTGTGACACAATCTTTCCAGTTCTTTCAATTCAATTCCCGTTCTTCTGAAAGGTCACTTTGTGTTTTCTTTTAAGGATTAACGGACGTTGCTTATGAAATAATGCAATCCATATCTGGATTGAAAACGGAGGCACAGGATGGTTTATTGAAAGAGCTTTGTCAGCTGTTAATGAACCGCAAGTTACCTAGTAAACTTGATCCACCTACGGAACCACCCATGCCAGCTGGTCCTGTGAATGTTACTAATGTGGCACTTACAAATCTCGCGTTAGCTACACTTGGTCGTTTCGAATTTCAACGGCACGCTCTTCAAATGTTCATCAATTATATAGCTCATGTAAGAATTAGTCGATCTCATCTTTCAAAATCTTCTACTCTATTGTTGACCATCAGTTTTCAATAACTGTTAGATGCCGCAAAATCACTTCTTGACTGACTGCTGAAATGAAGAGTTATAACCTTGGTAATTATTAGTTTGTCTTGATGATCAGGAAAGAGTAATAAATAAGTAATGAAGTGTTAAAAATCAAATAAAAGCAAATGGCGAACCTCGAATTGTTAATAAATTCTCAGGGTTACTTGTCTTCTGATTGCGCGGAAGTACGTTTAGCTGCAGTGGATTGCTGTGCTAAAATGTTGACACCCTTTGTTCGTGTATTTGAATCATTTGAATGCGCCAATAAAAAACAGCGTTTCGATGTCCTAAATTTGATCCAATCTGTACTCCGACAACTTGTTATGGTTGCTGTTGTTGATCCGTGTGAGTTTTTCTGATACTTTTTTGATAAAAGGGCTTTTTTGAAGTTACGATTCTCGAAAGTTTGAAAAAATTAGGTAACATTATTCTAAATTTATCGAGTTAAGAAATTAGTTATCTTCTTTAGCGAATGAATTATCCAAGTTTAATTTAGTATATTACTGTTAATTGAAGCCAGTTTTGATATTAAAATGTTTTGAATATTGGGAGATATTTCTTGCATAGTGGTTTTGTGTATGGCCTGAAAAAGCGATGTATTAGCAATATATTTAACTATATGTATGAATTAATCCTCTTAATTCCGTTAGTCGTTAATGTAGTGTTTCGGTAATCATTTCAGTTATGCAGTTAGTATTATATATAACCATGGAGGAAGTTTTGTTGAAGTTAGAATCAGAAATGTGGATGACCGAGTATGATGCTTGTTTTTTAGCTTTCTTTATCTTTTTCTATGATATTCTTTTGCTTTTCAGCAGTGGAAGTACGCTTGAGAGTTTTACAATGTTTTAAAGATGGAGATCCACTTCTGTTATCACATTTAGCACAAGCTGATATGCTTGACTCTATTTTCATGACTTTGCATGATGAAAAATTGGAAGTGCAGGAGCATGCAGTAGCTTTGCTTGGAAAACTGGGCAGTTTGAACCCTGCATATGTTTTACCCAGTTTACGTAATGTTCTGTTAGAGACACTTACCCAGTTAACGAACAGTGGAGTGCCGAGGTTGTTTATTACATCTATTTGCCTTCTGAACTTATAACATTCATGAAATTTATTGTAGATTTCTGCTTTGAAAAAGAAATTAATTATTTCTTCTTGCCCTGTATTAAAATATGTTGGAACTTCAAATGAGTTTAATCTCTTCTCATGTCATTCTCCCAAAAAGTTAGGAAGTGCAATATAAATGAAGTGTGTTCTTCCGAAGCAAAGAAGGCTAAAAGAATTCCAGACTCGAAGAACATAGTGCTCGTGTAATTGCACAGGTGGCTAAACAATCTCCTAAATTTGCAAAGCCATATATGAATCCAATATTGACAGCTTTGGTACCAAAATTGAGCTCCGAAATCAGTCATGTGGATGTGACTGTGCAGGTTTGATGGTTTACTTGTTGCACTTACTTTGAAGTTCATGAATGAATTTGGAATTTTGAATAATAAAATGATGTACGAGTACGTTTACAGGTATTGAATGCTATAAGTGAATTGGCAGCTGCAGGTGGTGCTGATTTGGTATTTTCAGTAGAAACGCTATTTCCTTCGTTGGTGCAGTTTTTGCAAGGCTCAAGCAGTTTAAGTCGCAGAGAAGTGTTTAAATTTTTTGACTCCTTTATGTAATATTATTATTCGTACTTTTAATTTCTTCACTAATCCTTCATTAATAGGCTGCTTTGCGTACGATGGGACAGCTTTGCCAGAATACTGCGTATGTTGTTGATCCATATAAGGAGCATCCTGAATTGCTTGATGTTCTGCTGAGGCTGTTACGAACGGAAATGAGTGTTTCAATGCGTCGAATGACCATGCGGGTGATTTTTTTATTCAAAATTTTATGATTTTTTTAGAATTTGCAGGTTTTGCAGATAAAGATTTATTTAAATCATTTTCCCTATAAATTTTCAGGTTTTGGGTATTATTGGAGCCTTAGATCCATATACGCATAAAGTTTTTACGGGAAAAGTTTCTTCTCAAAAGTCGAATTCATTAGCTCTATCGTTACCATCCACATCATCATCTTCGGATATGCGAAATGGTGCTTTTTATTCAGTCTTATGGAATTTGGTAACTGAAATTTTGAGTGCGATGAATAAGCAGATGTTTTAGCTGTTAGCGTCATAAAATTCATATCGCTGTGTCTACCATGCAATCACATCCTAATCAGAAAACGTGCTGCACTGAATGATCGAAAAATTATGGTAGTTTGAGATTGTGCAAACTTTCTGGATCGCTTTGGAGTTCCGAAATTTTCACTATTTTTAGATACCATTCAGTGGTTTCACTATGAAAAATATACATTGACGGAACTCTATCCGGCATTTTCCATTGCAAGTTTAATGCAGATGCTCAAAGACGATGCACTCAGTCATTTACATCGTGATATCACCCAGGCATTACTAACTATATTCGGCAGCCTTGGTCCCAGTTGTACACTCTACGTTAACAAGGTTGCGCAAGCTTATCACTACTTTTTCACATTCTATTTTCTGTTAAATTTTACTTGTTGAAGACATTTGAGTTCATTTATTCTTAACAAAGAATAAATAGATCTCAAATCCTGCCTATATTATTTTTTTTTCTATTAGAAAATCATTTTTTTTTAAAAAAATAAGCTTCTAGGTTATACCTCGTCTGATTGAAGTAATTCAAACAGCTACTCGACCTGATTTGAAGCAGTTTTACTTGCAACAGTTGGCTAATTTTATAGCGATAGTTGGTGGTAGCATGAAACCATTCATGTCAAAATTGTTCAGCTTGGTCAGGGTAAGTACATCAGATTCATTAATAGTTTAGAATTTGTTATAATAACACTAAAAGATTTGTAAATGAAAAAAAAACTGAAAATTAATGAGATATTAAAGGAAGCATGGTCAGAAGATGTAAGTATGCGGCTTACTGTTGTCAATGTCATGCAGCAAATAGGTGCAGCATTTGGTGCATCATTTGCACCATACATTCCTGAATTATGTCCGTATCTTCTAAGTATCGTTCAGTCGGATCGTACGAAGGATAGAGCCATCACGTGCGCTGTAAGTTGATTTACCTTTATTGGGAGTTATCAATGACGGTTTTGTTTTATTTGGATTTCTATATGTACAGCAGTGAATACTTAACTATACGACACTAGCATCAAAATAATCATCATTATACAACTTTCACGTTTCACCAAAAATGCAAAAATACATCAGAACTTAAAAGTTGTTTTTACATTGATATTATTTATTGGCTGCTTATTTGTCCATGAATGCATTTTCAACCAACTGCTTATCGTTTTAAACTTCGACACTATGTTTTGCTATCGTAATGTGGTGATAATTTAGAGGAAAGGAATAAGAGTGTGGAAAGGAATAGATTTATCAGTATTTATCAACTGATAAAATATTCCAATTTTTCAAGAAACAAACGAGATAAAGATGAACCATTTCTTTTTATTCACTTCTTGCCTGTAGCACACTTTCTTTCAATCTCTATTCCCCATGCTTCCTTCCACATTCTTAGACACAGACAGTTCTTCCGGAACGAAAAGAGTACATTGGTAGGATGAGCAGAGCTACTGATTAACACTTCACTTGTTTAATTTCTGTAAAAGAATTATCTGTGATTGTCCAATTAGCGTTCGATCTACGAAAATACGCCATAAGGAAACTTTTCGGTTCGAGGGAGATAAATTGAAAAACTGAAACTTAAAAGAAATAAACGGAAGAACGCCACTGGTGGAGCATTTACTATCTCTATCACTTAAGGCCTAACAGAACATAATGTAAGAAACATCGAATACTTCTTTATTGAAATAACTTTTTGGCTAACCAAAGTGCTATGCGGATTTAAAATTTTAACTTTCATACAAATCTTGTGCTCTTTCCCAGGTATTCACATGCGTTCAGTCAATATCAATGTGTTTGGCACCACACATTCATCTTGTTTTGCCACCCATTTTGTTTGTTCTCGATGATCGGACCGTTAAGGTGGAGGTACGACGGATTGCTTTGGACACAGTTTATCAAATAGCTGAAACCATTTGTATTCGTGACCACGCACCAAGAATAATGCAAGTTTGGTTACGGGTTATTTCTGTTCATGCACTGCAGCAGAATTTGCTGCTTTTATTGGTGGTTATTGTTCAACAAGTTAGTATTTCGTGTTTTTCGATAGTTGATAAATATTGAAAGTTTCTGATAATTCGTTTAATGTTTATTGATATTTTGTTCATGTATAATCTTATGCTTGTGCTATATGCTATAATCTTATGCTATAATCTCTGCTAGTTTTAACCTTTTTTGACACTTAGGTCTATATATCTAAAATTTTATATTTCTTGTTAATGTTCCTACACTGCTTCTCAAGTTTTCATTGCAGATGTGGAGACAGTTTCTGGTTTTTCGTAAAAGTGTTGATTATGCTCTGGTTCGACATGGCTTGCATTGCGATGAATATTTAAAGTAAGTGTATTGCTGAACTTAATTACTTAAGCAAAACTTCCAGAGCAAATTAAGTTAATCGACTTAAATTTCATTATTGAAAGGTAATGTTTTGATGATTGGTCATTTGCTAGATGGTATTGATTGGGTTTTTTTCAGGAAGAAATAGCAGTCTTTAAAAGAAGTTCGGGCTTAGTTGTATCAAAATGAATGCCGAGATTAATAATCATTTCAGGCTCACGGTACTACTCGATGAGGGGAGCGCTGCATCTCCCTCACATTTTCCTGCTATCAAGGTTCCGTCCAATCAAGTAAAGCAGTTTATTGCATCTGCCCGTCATGAAAAAGGACAACGAATTAATTTTGATGTTTTGAAAAGGACTTGGACTACTGCGCAACTTGTATCGAAGGAGGTACATTTTATTTTTTTTTTTTGAACTGATTGGTGAAGATGCATTTTTAACGGTATTATTTCATTCGCAGTATAATAGCATAAGTGATGCATTAATGTACATATTGCTTCTAGTCTTATTTTATCATCAAAAGGGTACAGAACTTTCGACATCCTTAAATTTGGATAATTATGCTAAATAAGATAACATACGACAAAAGCCTATTTTTCATTTTACTGCTCTATGCATATTATTTTTCAAAGCGGAGCAGCTTTTTATATCTACGAGGTGTATTATTACTCCAGTTTATCTAACTTATTTCCTTCAATTTTTACATTTATTAGAGTTCGAACAAATTCAAATTTGTAGTCAATTTTCGAATGATTGATGATTTTGGCGATAAACCATTGGTGTAACATGTTATTTCAGGACTGGGACCAATGGCTTGTTTTATTGCGAATTCAATTTATTCGGCAAAGCCCTTCTGCAGCTCTTCGTGCATGTGCTCCTTTAGCCGATGTACATATGCCACTCGCGAAGTAATTATGTTGTTTTCTGAAATTATTTTTGATATTTTTGCATGAAACTTACGTTGTTAGTATTAAGCTTACTTGTAAAACCTTAATCGTTGTTAGTAGACACAATAGAATAAATCTACTTTTATAGATCGTTCGAAGTTTTTGTCAATTTTAGTGTTTTCATTAATCTGATGTAGGGAATTTATAAAAACAGTTTTTGTTTTCGTCTTTCAAAAAATTTCTTACTCTCGAGACTTCATTTCAGAGACTTGTTCAATGCAGCATTCATGTCAGTTTGGATAGACTTGGACGAAATGCAACAAAGAGACTTAGAAACAAATCTTAAATATGCCCTTGATTTCAGTAATCATACCGATATTACACAAACAATATTGAACCTTGCGGAATTTATGGATCATTCCGAAAAAGTAAGCATAGCGATATCTATTGCTGAAACAATCATTTACACCCATGTTACTACGTTTTCAAAAGTTTTGAAATTGCATCCTTCTTTTTAAAATTTGTTTTCAGGGGCCTTTACCAGTAGGTAGTGAAAGGTTGTGTAAATGTGCTGAACAGACTCGAGCATACGCCAAAGCGTTACGATATACGGAACTGAATATTCGCGAAGAATTTAATAGAGATCCAGATCCGGAACACTGTCGCTCTCTCATTACGTAAGTCTCTTGTTTAGGAGTTTTGTCCAATTCTTATTTGAAGTTTGTCAAATCAGTTAATTGGATTTTGCAAAGGAATTAACTCATTTGCAGTTATGCAAACAAACTGAATCTTCAAGAGGAAGCCGCTGGAATTGTAGCGTTCGCTCGACAACATAATATGGAAATTGGAGTAAGTTAATGGAACAGACCAGATTCAGTAATTGAAAACTTCAGTGATAGAAAATAAATGGTTAAGATTATGTTGGTGAAACACATAATTACGTAATTGCTGAAGTATGTCCTGTAATTAACAGTCATCCTCGGGAGTGATGTAAATTCCTAAATAATGTTTGTAATAGTGGCGTGGAGTTGGCTTTTGAAACGGTGCGAAGACTTCAGGATATACGGGGGTGTATAGTATGTGAAAAAGAGCTTTGTAAAGCAACTAAATAACGAAATGAACATAATCAAATGTTTGACTATTGTGAATTAATTGTTCAGCAAAAGTTATATTTAAATGAGAGTATATAGTATGTGCAAAATTATACGCAAAAAGGTCGAGAAGACACAAGCGTTTATAGATAGTAGAGTGGTGGGAAAATATTTCAAGTATCTTGCTATCTTTAATTTAAGTAATCTGAGCAATCAATTTAGTTTAACTTAACTGCTTAGTAATTGAAGTATAAATTGCTTTGTTCGTTTAAGCTGTGCTTTAATGTTAATCAGTCTTCTGAAACTGAGATTTTTTCATTTCAGAGACAGGGTCGTTGGTACGAGAAGTTGAATGAATGGGAGAAGGCATTGGAGATATATAATAATGAAACATGTATTACTGATGAGGTCTGGACTATTCTGATTATGAATTTAAGACATAATTTGAAAGATTGGTTTCTCAGCGTGATTAACTTGGCATTTCAGTTACTGGATTATGTAAATTTATGAGTGCTAGTCTTTTAAAATCGGTTGATTTATATATGATTTTTTTTCTGATTATAGCTGTATGAGCATCAAATGCGATGTTTGGAAGCATTAGGACAGTGGGATGAATTAAATGACCTAGGTAAAAAAGCATTCGCTGAAGTGGGCGCAACAACAAATGCAATTAGAAAGCAAAATATGGCAATAAGTGCAGCACGAGGCAGTTGGGCAATCGGTAAGTCGTTTCCTGAAACTTGCAATTGAATAGATCTGGCTTTTGTACTTTTCCTTTTATTTATAATAATGGAAAAAATGCCAGCAAATGTTTAGAAGACTGGGGAACAATGGATTATTATGTCAAACAGATTAATGAAAATAATCAAGATGGATCCTTCCTTCGAGCAGTGCTGGCTATTCGAAATGAGCAGTATCGTGATGCAATGGCTTATATTGAAAAGGTTATTTGTGATTATGCTAATACAGGCTTAATGATTTTTGATAGTAGTTTAACTGTTAGTAAATCATTGCCCTTAACGAATTGTCTAAGTGCTTTTTCAATCTCTCTTGATTTAATGCATAGTGGTATTACGAAACATTTTGGTGCGAGATCATAATTCGTTGTTTGGTGCGAGATCATAATTCGTTGCTTATAATACCTTTTGGCATGCGCCTTTCCACTGTGATAGTATAATAAGCACTCCCTGAACTGTATTAACATGGCTGTTTCGGTATCATTATTGAGTTCTGTTGCAGTTCATCACATTCTTAATGTTAGGTGTTCATCACTCCCTTTAATGGTATTTCAGTTCATCTAAAAATGGATTTGATGATTTGATCAAGACTGTCTACGAGCAGCTGTAGCTTTTTAAGATGTTAAAGTTATCAGTTATATATGAGGCCTGTTAGTACTTATTTTATCTTCAGGTGCGTGACATGTGTGACACAGAATTGACAGCGATGGCATCAGAAAGTTATGAAAGAGCTTATGGTGCAATGATTCTTGTACAGCAGCTAACCGAACTTGAGGAAGCCATTGAATACAAAATGTGGCCCGATCGAAGGATTCGAATTGCTGTTGTTTGGAGTCGACGTTTGCAAGGCTGCCGACCAAATATTGAACAGTGGCAGAGGCTGCTGCTGGTAAAGTAAGTTGTTCGATAAAACATTGTTTGGTTTAGAAAACTTTTTACTTGTGAAGTTTTACGATTAGTTTTAGTCGACCAATTTTATAAAGAAAAATGAGATTGATTTTAAGCAAATGAGTAGCCTTGTATTTTCAGATCATTAGTGCTTTCACGGAACGAGATGCGCCCATTATGGATTAAATTTTCGTCGCTTTGTCGACAGTATGGAAAGTTATCAATGTCACGTCGAATTTTGGCAGATTTGTTAGGACTAAAGCGGAATGAAGAACTACACAAAATAACGAATTTGCCAATGGATAAGCCTTCATTGGTGCTAGCAGTTTGTAAGCAATATTGGGCAGAAAATCTGACTGAACTGGCTTGCAGTACATTGGAACAGCTGACCAATCGATTCGAAGCCGAAAAGGTTTCGAAAATTAAATTTTTACTGGATTACTGAAAACAAATAAAGTAGAAAGACGCGTCTGCTAGATTTCCCTTTGATATATTGTAGTTATAACAATCATGTATACTTTTTGAAGCAATTAGAGAAATCGAATTATGTGCATTTGCGGAATTAAGTTTTGACATATTTCAACAGCACGTAATGCTCTGAAATGGGAATAATAGTAACAGAGACTGATGCGATTTGAACATTACTATTCATATTTCAGACAGAAATCAAGAAAAATTCGGAGATGTCCCGGTTGGTGGCAAAATGTTGTCTAAAACTTGGTGACTGGTATGATACTCTACCGCAGCCAACCAAAGATGTGCAGGCCGTGATTGTGAATATACAGCAGTCTTTATCACCTGTTAACACTCCTCAACAATCACCGGCAAGTGCATCCATTATGATAAATGTACCACCATTACTTCTAACCGATGATCATACCCAAATCTCTCCGCCTCCAGTATTTGCACCAAGTTTACATGCCAGCCCATCACAACCGATTTTGACACAAACAATGAAATTCTATGAAAATGCTACAGTTTACGATCCAACTTGGTATAAAGCGTGGCATAAACTTGCATCTGCTTACTTCAATGCTGTTATGTATCAGACGCAGAATTCGGTGAGCTCCATTATGCTTCAATTATTTTTCTATTTATTTTTTTATCCATTTTTTACTCAAACTTGACCTCAGCATGGAGAGGAACTGTTTGGTTTTCCATTTCATGGTTTCTATCACATAAGTTCTTATATATATGTGGAATTTTTCTGCATCGGTATCGATAAGGCATTCAACAGAAGAATCATAATTTAAATTAATTTGTTGTTCCAAATTGGTATTTGATTTAATGGTTAATATACATTATTTCGTTTTACTCCTCTTTGCTGCTGATGTAACTGTTATTACAATAGTGTTTTGAAGTTTCAAATCTAGTAGTATATAAAATTTATTCAATTATTCAAAATTCTTTATTTATTCCTTCTTTTTCATAAATACTTATAAAATATTTTATAAAATGTGTAGAAGTTATCAAAAAGAACACTAAATTACTGCAAAAATTTCTTGAGTGCTTACGCATTTGAACATTCTTTTTTATCCCAAATAAGTACACTTACCACCAGAGGTTTTTAAGCGATGAATTATTTTTGATTTTTTTTATTTTTTAGTTTTCACCAGCACCACCACCACCACCTTTTATTGGTGCGATGCCAAGTTCTCCCAATTATGGCCCTTTCGGCAGCATTATAGATCAAGAAATTTCATCAGATATTCTTATACCAGAATTGTATCCACCGCCATCACCTTCTTCTTCAGTGATTGTAAATCCACCTTCTCCGGCACCTAATCAAGCGATGATCTTCCTTGCAAAACAATCTGTTTCAAGTTTCATTAAAGCTATTACTTTGGCCGAAGGTTTAAATTTTTTTAAATTACTTTCGTTTTCTACTGCTTTACGGCTCCACAAATACTGAATCAAGATTGCTTTATGGTACTAAGTAAATATCATTCACCTTCGAGATGCGGCGTGGTAGCGTTACTAGATTGATGAATTTAAGATAGCTGTTGATCCAGTGTCAATATCCGAAGGATCGCTAAACGATACAGTAGTGATAGGGCATGGATTTAAGACATTTCGTAATCATTTGATGTATTGAAACTTTCTGTAGTTCAAATTATGCGCATACTTATCCGTGATTTTACATGAAATTCATTGATGATGAAAAGAAGATCAATGGTTCTAAATAATAACCCTCAGCCTTTAGGATCACGGCTAGAAGATACATTGCGATTTCTGACCTTATGGTTCAAACATGGTGATCAAGTGGAAGTTTTCGAGACTATCCAAGAATCATTGAAATTGCTGCCTGTTGAAATGTGGCTTGAGGTTTTTAAATAAACAGATTATTCTCAAATTTCATGTTAAAAAGTTTTTTTAACCTATGGAAAGATTTCCTTTGAAATATGAGTGTAATTATGAGTTGGGCAAGATGAGATCTTCGTTTTTTTATCTTCGTATACTCGTATATGATTCCAGGTTATCCCGCAATTGATGGCACGTCTAGATTCGAAACAAAATGTTGCTCAGTTGATTAAGCAAGTAGTCATTGACTTGTCAAAAGTTCACCCTCAGGTTGTTGTGTTTTACTATATAGCTGGAAATTTGATTAGTAGCTGTTGTTTCATAATTTTATATTGCAGACATATTTTCAAGCATTTTTTAATATTACTAGCAGATAAAATAACAGTATTTAGGAAGAAAATAAAATTAAATTTTTAGGATAAGGTTTTTCAAGAGAGTACAAGTGTTTCTTTTATCTTCGAGATTGTATTTAATTACGTTTAAATTTCTTCCAGTCATTGGTTTACGCCCTTACAGTAGCTGCAAAATCGGCAAATTTACGACGTTCAACGGTCGCAACAGAGATATTGACAATTATGAGTGATAGTCAACCAACACTTGTTGAGCAAGCAAAGCTTGTTAGTGACGAGCTGATTCGTTGCGCCATACTTTGGCATGAACAATGGCATGAAGCACTAGACGATGCATCAAGGCTCTATTTTCAGGTTAAAGATAGAGACCCTACTCCAGAGATAAGTTTTAGGGAATAACTTTTAGCAAATCTGCAAAAGCACGTCCACATTCACACATTGATACATATGTGTGCACTTAAGTTTACAATATGTTCACTTTTGCGAACAAACTGTACATGATCTACCGTACTTAATGCACAACTTTGCAATATATTTCGGGAAAATGTGTAATGCACGATATCGTTGAAAACTAGTAAATACATAATGCACAGTGCTAATCTTGGTTAAGATTGTTATCTGCAGTGTGATGCTATACTTACTTACATTGACTATAGTTTTTACAATACCTTATGTCGTGTTTGTCATTTACAAAGCTTTGTTTGCTGGTTGCTACCGCAATTTTGTTTTGGCATTCTATCTGCGGTTAGCGTTAACTAAGTATGTACGAGATTAAGTTTCAGGACAAGAATGTAAAAGCGATGTTCGAGTTATTGAATCCATTACATGACATGATTGATCGTGGTGCAACTACTCTGAAGGAACAGTCTTTCAAACAAGTAATATTATTATTGGTGAAAAAAATCAAATCGTCATAATGAATGGAAATAATGGAATGCTAGGAGAGCACAATAGGGTCTTGAAGAAGACAAAAACACAATATTCCATATTCTGAATAATTTCAAAGTGTTGCTGGACCAGTCGTAACTCTAGAATGGCAAAACATCCGTAATGTAATCCAGGAATGCGAGACGCATGGATTTAAATTTGCTACACTATTGCAGCCAAGTAACATCGGTGCATCGCTGACATGATTTGAGAGATTATGCAACTTTGAGTACTACTTTGTGAACATTTTTTTGACTGTAGAATGGTTTCGACATAGCGCATCAATTTCTTCAGCGTTTTAAATAAATGAAGAGTTAAATAATATAGGGTTAGGCATTTTGATGAACATTTTTTTTAGACGTATGAAAATGAACTGAAGGAGGCTTGGAACGCTTGTCGTTGTTACTTACGTTCACAGAATGCAAAAGAACTGAATCAGGCATGGGATCTGTACTACATGGTGTTTAGAAAGATCTCAACTCAGCTTCGTCAGCTGACTTCACTGGATTTAAATTATGTTTCCCCTAGGTGCAATATTTTTTCGCCTTTCCAAGTAGGAACTTGAAACTACTAAAACTGGACAGGATGTCTAATTAATACTCAACCTGAGCAGTTTTAATCAGAGTAGGTGATTAAATAATGAGTAGTTAATAGTCAGTTTCTTTAACTACTGGACTAGCTCTTCAAAATATAATAGATACATTTCTTCAAAATTATATTAAGGCTGTACTAACCTTTCGGAAAAATCTGAAGGTAGTTTATAATGAAAAAAATAGTATGGTGGATGAAGGTCGTAGGAATTTCTAAACGATGCTATTTGAGTTCTACAATATTGTCATGCAGTGAAGCGGTATATTATTGATTCCAGGTTGGTGAAAGCTAGAGATTTGGAGCTGTCAGTTCCTGGAACATATGATCCAAGTGCTCCACTGGTTACTATATCCTCAATAAACAACACTTTGCAAGTAATTAATTCAAAACAACGACCGAGAAAAGTAGTTATGAAAGGTAGAAAAATAGTTATGAAAAGTTTCTATGTGTTTCATATTATGACATTTTATGAAACCTTTGGAAATCTTTAGGAAGTGATGGAAAGGATTATATATTCCTCCTGAAAGGTCATGAGGATCCTCGACAAGATGAAAGAGTTATGCAGCTCTTTGGTCTGGTTAACACTCTGCTCTTGCATCAGGGTGATACATCTCGCCGAAATCTGACTATCCAAGTTGTTTGCTTTCTTGTTTTTTGAAGAAGTTATGATTATGGAACTGTTAAGAGATTAAATATTTAACTTTTGTTTGGAATCCAAGGACGAAAAGTAATCTCGAAGTGATCATCTTGGAAGTCAAATTTTTCATCTTAAATTCAATCCCTACCCATCGCTTTCCAACCGCGTAGTGTGCGCTCTTTATCTTGTTTTTTATTTATTATTTAGTCATTTTTTTATTTTTGCAGCGCTATTCAATTATCGCCTTGAATCAAAATAGCGGTTTGATTGGCTGGGTTCCAAACTGTGATACTTTGCATTCGCTTATTCGTGATTATCGAGAAAAAAAAGGAATTTTGTTATCAATGGAGCACAAAATTATGCAAAGTTTCGCTAATGATTTAGATCAGATGACGCTGTTGCAGAAAGTTCAGGCATGACTTTTCATTCGAAGTTTCCCCGTAAACTTTACCTTTTGTAGTTATGTTTTTGAACTTCACATTTTATTCAGGTATTCCAACACGCACTTGAAATGACGAGCGGAAATGATTTGCAACAAATTTTGTGGCTTAAATCTCCAAAGTAAGTTTCTTTATGTGATTATAAGCTTAGAACAGTGGACTTGTGATTTTTTTTGTGATGGGGGCATCAATATTTCCATTTCTTTCCTGTAATACTCCTTTTTATGGCAACATTTCAAATGAACCACATCTTTGTCCACATCTATTGAAATTTTCACGTTTTATCTTTGAAAATATTTCTTTATTCAACGATTTAATTGTTTTAAATCAAAAAAAAATCTTGTAATGCGCACTCTCTAACCGTATTTCTTCATCGTTTGGTAATTTCCAGTTCGGAAATTTGGTTTGATCGGCGTACCAATTACACTCGCTCAATGGCATGTATGTCAATGGTGGGCTACATTTTAGGGCTTGGGGACCGGTAAGTTTATAATTTTTACAATTTTACTGCTGTCGAGAGAATTTGAAATAAAATAATTCATGCACATATTGCAGACATCCGTCAAATCTGATGCTAGACCGCGTTAGCGGTAAAATTGTCCACATTGATTTTGGAGATTGTTTCGAAGTTGCAATGACCAGAGAAAAGTTTCCAGAGAAAATTCCGTTCCGATTAACAAGAATGCTCATCCAGGTGGAAATTTTTAGAAAATTCATGTTTCCAAAAGAAAAATTCATTGTTTTTTATAAAACTTTCTATTACGTTCTAATTGAGTTGATTCTCTTTGACAAGCAAAATAATATTTTATCGAAAGATTGAAGTTTTAGAAGCCATTCCAGTTTTGGGCAGGGTCGGGTTTTTATCTTTCATATCTACTATTTATGCCTAAACTCGTTTAATTTGAATAGATTTGATAATTTCTAGGCTATGGAAGCTACAGGAATTGAGGGTAATTATCGAATAACTTGTGAGCGTGTTTTGCGGGTGCTTCGTTCAAATAAGGAAAGCCTTCTTGCCGTACTTGAGGCGTTTGTGTATGATCCTCTTATCAATTGGAGATTAATGGAAGGTATTCCTCATTTTTGTGCATATTTCCTCATTTTTACATATCTTCTTTGTTAAGGGTGTATTTTATTATTATCAACCTTTTCATTCAATAATGTGCAAGAGATGACTTCTGTGTGTTCACCAGACTTTTTCTAGCTGGTGGAAGACGGCCGCCACCCGAAACGCTGCAAAATGGTCAGACTGATTCGAAAGCTGAATCATCACTAAAGCGTATCAAGCAGAAGTTATCAGGTAATGAATTTGCTGTTCTATTAATTAGAGTTAATGTAATGATTGTAACATAATGCGACAGAGCATGACTTTGTATTTTGTCAGGCCTGATTTTATGTTTGGAATAATATGCGTGTTTTGAAATATTATCCTAATGCGCAAGAATTAAAGGAATTAAACTCACGTTTTTTATTACTCAAAGACATGAAAGTACACATTGGGCAGAAAAGGTAATTATATGTATATAATATAATGATCTTATACATAACATTAGAATGATTATTTTATTGTTAAATTTTTTGAAATTTCGCGCATTGCCAGTTTGTTTTGTTGTATTTAGCTCTGCTTAACTTTAGTTTTTCACTTAAGTTTGTTTAACATTACCCTCATTTTATACTTTATTTTACTTCGCTTCACTGTACTATACTGTGATTATTCATTGTTCTTACTTCACTTTCTTTCACCGCGAAGAATTTTTTTACTTTGCGAAGTCTTCTGTACTAGTGGAAAAGAAAGGGAAAAAGCATTTATTCAGATGTAACTTTATTTTGATGTTAATCATGTAGCCGAACTTAGGTTAAGTACCGATTGTTCAATGTTTAAAATTTTCAGGTCGTGACTTTAATCCTAATGTGGAATTCAGTGTACCGGAGCAGGTTGGCCGACTCATTGATCAAGCAATCTTAGCAGAAAATTTGTGTCAGTGCTACATCGGCTGGTGTCCATTTTGGTAATATAAGAGTTTTGTATACTAAGGATACCATATTTTTATCCTTAGTTTTCAAATCTTTCCGATTTTATGGAACATAAATTTTTTAGGATCAGGTTGTCCTCTTCTGTCAACCTGAAGTGATTAACAAAATACAATCTGTTCTAGATCACTGAATATCTAATTATTTTGTACTATTTTGTAATACTGTGCGAAGTATTCAAGTGTTTATTGCTATATAATGGAGATCTTGTAAACTAAGTGCATTTATATATCAAATGCAGTTGGTTTGTATAGAGCCTTCTATGGTATATATGAAATGTTTGCGTTCTATTACGGATTTCTTATTTCCGTGGGAATTGTTGTATATTTAGGAACTTAAAAGTCTTATTTCCATTCATGAATTCAAAAAAATGGATATTAAAGTCAAAATTTTGCTCAGAAATAAAGTAACTCATAATCAAAAAAAGCGTAATTCTAGAAGTTGTAATTGCTATCTGTATTATTACTGTTGATCTCACTACATTTGTTAGATGTTAATATCGTTTCTTAGAAATGTGCCTTTCAAAGTTTACGTTTTTTGCTTTTTTTTATTAAGAAATTGGCATTTTGGATGTAAATATTTGTATGATTTTGATTATATAATCACGTTATTATTGCTTCTTCTTGAAGAATAGCTCGGGAAAGTCAGTGTTGGGATGGTGTTTTTAGATATGTCTCATTTCCATGAATTTCATTGTTAGTTGTCAAACTCAGTTGGAAAAAAGAATTTAGGATTTGATATCTAAACAAACAATTGGACAAGATTTTCAGTTGATATCCTTTACTGCAATAGGTTCTGCGAGCAAAAGATCACTGATTCATGTCCATTCGTTTTTCAGATTTTCAGAAGATTCTATTTCAATTGGATCACACTTAGTATTTCTCCCCATTGCAGTTCTTCAGTGAGTTCAATTTTGCATCCTATAAGAGGATGTATATGCGTCCATTTGTTGCCATCGATCGTTTAGCATGTGAATAAAGTATATTACCGGAAGTTTTGTATACCATTTATTATGCAAACAACGTAAAAGGAATTGCTAAACATGGGACTAAATTGTTCAACAGGCAGTTACAAAAAGAGATTGCCTACTTCTCATTAAAACATTTAGAACTTCAGGACATAATCTTTCCGTAAAACAATTTTAATAAATATTCAAATAAGGGAATAAAATGTCCAGGTAATGAAATGTTACCAGATCATAAATTGTCTTGCCACTCTATGGTGCATATGAATTGAAAAGAACACAAAGCAGAAAGGAAAGGTTAAAGAAAAGGAAGTACTTCATGGGTATTTATCCGGTCTCTTGATAATTAATAAAAATGTTTTCACGGAGAAGTTTGATTACCTGATCATATTACTGAAGCGGTAAATGGACATTGCTGATGGCAAACACGGACACAAAATGGCTTCTGGACATTTGCTCTTTTCTAGCGGTTCATAAATGTCAGTTGAAATGAAAGATATGACTAGACGATATTCTGTTGTCAAGTTACTTATACACGGATAATAAGAATTATAAGCTTCGTTTGAAATGCAAAATTCTTTCATTTTTTTCTTCATAAACCAATCTATTTTGCAATGAAGAAAGAAACGAAAAAGACAAAGACATGTAAAACGATTATATACAATAAGTTCAATTTTTGGAAGGCCCATTTGTATGAATAGTTCGGTTCATCCGGGAAACTATCCTTACTTATTTCTGCGGAAACCCAATAACACTGTATTAGATAGAGATACATTAAAAAATCTTGACGAGCGCTTAAAGTTAAGTGATATTACTTGTTTCATTTTGAATCCTTTCAAGAAAGACTTTTTATTTAATCACTATTATTACGGAAGAAACAATGTTTAATGGTATACAATAATTGATTTCAAGGTAATCAAGAAATAATCGTTTTAAAAAAAGTCGTGGGCAGTTTAGAAAAGTTTCACAACACAATCTGTGCCAGGATATTCGGGAAGATCTAGGTGATATTTTACAGCGAGAGCTTTCGGCACAAACCGACCGCCTACATAGTGCGCTCGACCGTGAAAATGTTTTGCACAAAGTTTCGGCACAGTTAATGATATTAAAACATCAGGGTTGAACGCCGGTTCTCCCTCAAGCGGCCCCTTTTCGACATCCCATCCTGAAATACAACATGTCGAGTAACCAAAACAATATAATTAATTGACAGCAGAATCACTTGATTGAAGAAAGTAAACAACGTGTGAGGAACTAGTTCATTTTAATAACGAAACAAATTTATAGAAATGGAAAAGAATGAAAAGTAGCCGGAATTCAAGGAGACATTATCAAAAAGATCAGAAGCAATTCATCAGTGGGGAGCAGACAAAACAGGCAGTATGAAAAAATACCAATAGAAAATGTCCTTAACGTTGACAGGAGGAACAAGATGCGAAAAAAGAGAAATAGAGCATTCTTTGAATACAATAACTCTTTCATCAACAAAGAATTACAATCTTCCCCATATCACATCGCATATATCCACTTTACTAATTATTTATTGCTTACAATAAAAAGTATCTTAAAAATTTTCAGCATTAACAGCGCTGAAATAAATGGGATGAAATTTGGAGAAATTCCACTTGCATGACTGTGATCATTTTTTGAGTGATGCTGTACTAACAGTCTTCTAAAAGAAGTACTGCATTCTTAATGATAGAATTTGATTTTAAAGTTCAAATTTTTAACTATTTAAAGTATTATACCGAAATAACGTGAACTGTTTAATACAATTTCGCACTCTAACTTTTTGAAATCCTAATCATTTTAAAAAATTTTTCGGTTTCACCGCAAATATTTTTCAAATCTTTCATGAAAGATGTTTGGCTTGAAGTTGAAAAACAATTCGATAGTTAAGAACTACTGAAAGTAAAAAATTTCGATTAACAAACAGCATTTTATCAAGATCCTAAAACACAAAACCCCGACTGTTTTAGTCGTAAACAGGTCCTATTTTAAAGATAACTTCTCTCAAGTTTGCTTAATCCATCTGAGGAAATTTTTGAGGTGCTTAGGAATGTACAATATTGCGGAAAGTAATGTATATAATTCCTAATCAAACAATCAAGGAAGCGGATGGTGCAGGAAAATATTGCATTAAGAGATATATAACATACACATTCGCTCCGAAAACATTTGAATAAGTTCATTTACCTGAAGGTATATCGATTGACACCACTGGTAAGGAGCTTTTATTGACTGCCTCGATTATTTCATCAAATGGTTCTCTTAACGGTGGTTTGAAACTAAATCCAAATAAAGCATCCACAACCAACGTGAATTTATTTTTCATTTCAGACGGATTTTTGAAAATATTTTCATCGATATGTGATATACCCAATTTTTTTGTCTGCATCACAAGGCGTTCCATCAGTTCTGATTTTGACTGTTTTGGATAGAAAATGAATGGTTCGAAGCCCTACGAATGCGCTTTATTAAATTTATATCAAAATTACCTTTCATTTAGATATAGCAGAATTTCTGATAAAATACTCATTAACAGTTCACATCAATACTTGTGTGGTTGTATGCCACACGATTTGTTGCGCTGCTGTTTTGGATATTGTTACAGTTCAGTGAAAACTTCAGAATGCACGCTTCATTGAGTAGCTTACTTCAAGTATGACGTCAGAGATTAATTTAATACTCCAAAGCAAATGCTTGGCTATTCCTGAAACAAAAACTGATATGTTTTCATGCTTACGAGAAGCGTTAGGTGACGTGCACATACGAAACCATCACCACCATTATTTCCTGGGCCACAGATGATGAGAATTTTCCCTTTATCACAACTGCGTGCTATTGCATGAGCGCAACTTAGACCTGCAAGCTCCATTAACTGATCCACACTGAATGCATAAAAGTTGAATAGTTCACGGTCCAGTGCAACCGCATCATACTGACTGAAAATACGCCGAGGAAAAAATGATGCAATATTATTTTAAAAAATTGTGAAAAAGCTTCAAAGATTAGAAAATCGATCCAAATTTTGCAGATAACAATCATGTGCACGCGATTATCCAAGCTATTCTCTCTCATAAAACCATTTTCAAGATCTCCAGCAATATCAGAAAACACTTCAATAGATTAAAGTAAGGAACATAGAAAGATCGAATAAAATATTCCAAAGACACCTGACACCTTTGCTATTCATGATTGCGAAAATACCCAAGAATAGTGAATACGCTAGAATACTGAAAAAAATACAATAGGGATACGAAAAAGTTCAGAGTGAAGATGAATCATTTGTTTTATTGATGGTTTCGAATTACATGGAAAACAGGAAAAATAAATGCAGTTACTAATAAGTACGATGAAACTTCTTAGTAGTGGTGTCAATGGGATGTGAAATAAATAAATATGCAACAATATTAAATGAAAAGCTAAAAAGTGAATTCTAACAGATGAGATACTGGAAAGTAAAAAGAAAGCACTACTAATCGAAGGGATTACATTTAGGAATTAAAACAAGGACATGCAACTGTAGTGAGAAAGAACCTTTCATGATTACTTGAAAAGAATTAGATAAATATTGCAACTAGAGTTAAAAGATAATCCTGCTCACGAAAACAATATAAGACAATAAAACAGATACTAAGTAAGCAGTACTGGTAAATATGAAAAAGTATTTATACAATGTTAGGTGAATTGGGAAAACATCTAGCGACGATCGGGATGAATATAAGGGCAACTACGGAGACAATTTTATCAGAAATTATACATATACCACTAAAATACCTTATTAATTTTTGACGAACTCAATCCAAACAACAAGGTTCTAAAAACCTGGGTTAGATCCACATCTCTCCACTATAATTCTGATGACGGTTAATAGCTATTAAAAATTTAAAAAGCTATTAAAAATTTTAACTTGAGAAATGAAACAGACCTGATGAAGGAAACATCGTTCACATTAGTCATTGTAACAATACCTCTGGGTTCCATCAGCGTTTTTTTCATCAAACGAGCAAACAAGCGTCGTGTTGCACTGCAAAAAGCATAATCAAACAGCATGTTGTGATAGCCTGCAACGAGGCATCGTTGTCAAGAAATTTTAAAATTAAAAAGCAATTTTGTTTGCAGCATTTTAAAAAGCATCAATTCTCTATCCATTTAAGTCCATCAAAATCCATAAAGTCAAACACTTATTACCATTGCAACTTCTTTCATATAAAGCAATAAAAGGCTAGTTCCAATTCATAAGTGATACAAATATAGAAATAAACAGCAAGTAAGGAAAAGAACATAGGTAATAAGGTGATAAGCAGTTAGCCTACATTGCATGAGTGAGGATATATAAACACCACAAATGCGAATGACCATCGAACGAAGAGAAAAAACGATCTACATATCAATCTATCGTTAAAAACTGCTCCGGCCGCAAGGCCTTCTTCGTAAAATTTCTGGGTTTCTAGACTGGAATGTGTTCAGGGCTGTGCTAGGGCTGGGGTGTATGAGTGTGTGTGTGGGTATGTGCTAGGATTGGTTTGGAGTGATGCGCTCAGTTATCCATCTTAGGTAAATGAAGATGTAGGAGTCAGCGGGAGAGGTTCACAAGAACAAATGGATCCACTTAGCATGCGATTCATTATTGAAAGGACTGATTGGGCATATTCTTGCTGGTGTTGCATTATGAAATTTCTTTCTGCGTGGTGCAAAGTAAACCTTGTTGCTATTACCGAACGCAGTCAGAATATTTAATCATTTTTCTTGGACATAGCGAGAGAGGAAATGTTTGTTCAGAATTGTTTGTAATCTTAATTTCATTTTCATTTGTATTGAACATCTTTTTGCAGGCAAAAATTACGCTAAAATTGTTGACCAGGATTCGAGTTTGGCGGTATGAATTTAATTTATATTTAGTTTAATTTTTTCATTTTGAAAAAAGTTTGTTAAACTTGAATTCTCAGAATTTATTTCATTGTTTTTCTAGAATTCAGTGGGTTAAAAGATTGGGTATTACTGCTGGGTTGATTTGTATGAGCAAACATTATCCGCTCTTAAAACGCGTAATCGTTCATATTGACACATCGTTCCAATGACAACAGTTGTTGCTTCACCTGGTCAAGGACCTGATCGTCAGGTAGAAGTACAATACTCCGATGCTAAGGTCATTTTTGTGCTTTTCAGGTTTAGATAAACTCATTTTGGTTTGATGATTTTTAGCAAGCAGTATTGCGAAACTGTTTTAAAAATTAAAGGGATTTTTTGCAATGAGGACAAATAAATTTAAAAATCTAATAATTTTTCCGAGGTTTTTTCTTCAATTCTTTTTACAACTTCTCCAATATTAATTCTAGATTTAATGTCACAATCAATTTATTAGGCATAAAAATCAGTTTTCAATAGAAGTTCTTTTCAAAATATCTATTTTAATCAGCCTTACAAATTTCTTTTGTCTTGATTGTAGGTAGTTGGTAGCGGTTCTTTTGGTGTCGTCTATTTAGCCGAATTGATCGACACAGGAGAACAAATTGCAATCAAGAAGGTACTCCAGGATAAACGATTCAAGAATCGCGAGCTACATATAATGAGAAAGTTAAATCATAAGAATATTGTACAGCTCAAATACTTTTATTATTCGGGAGGTGAAAAGAAGGACGAACTTTATTTGAATCTGATTTTAGAGTAAGTCTCATATTTGCAGTTCATTTCTGTTTCATTTTCCGTCTTCGTTCGTTTTGCTTCTCAGGAGTCTTTTTAGTAATACTTTTTACTAGAATGAATATTTCCTGAATCTGAAAACTAAATGATGCACACTGCAAAGTGATGCGTCATAAAATCCTGGTTTTTATTTTTACGAATAGATTCGTGCCAGAGACAGTTTATCGTGTCGCCAGACATTATTCCAAGTTACGACAAACAATACCCATTATATACGTCAAGTTGTACATGTTCCAGCTCTTTCGGGCTTTGGCATATATTCATCGACTTGGTAAAGTTTTTCTGTTCAATTCAATTAAAATATACTCATATACAAATATAAAAATTTAAAGCTTTACATATCTGTCAAGTGCTACATCATAACTAAAGGAATATAACAGGATGTAAGATTTTTTTGACTATTCCTATTAATTTTTTCTTCTGTACTGCTTAAAAAATTGTAGAGAATTTTTCGCAGTGCAGTACAGCTTTGTACACCAGTTATTTTGATTTATTTCAGGAATTTGCCACAGAGACATCAAGCCACAGAATTTGTTGATCGATACTGAAACTGCAGTACTTAAACTTTGTGACTTTGGTTCAGCCAAATATCTTGTTCGAGATGAGCCGAATGTTTCCTATATTTGTTCTCGTTATTATCGCGCCCCAGAGCTTATTTTCGGTGCTACTAATTATACGAACAGGTATTAATCGAAGTTTCACCTACTATACATCAGCAGTGAATGAAAATCCTTTGAGTATGGCTTAGAGTGTACTTCAAATTTATTTTCATCTTTCCAAATCTTTTAATTTATGCCCTTTCTTTTTATTAATAAAATTAAAATAATTTTATTTTATAATTTAGAAACACTACATTGCCGGAATTTTTAAATAATTTTACGCCATGAAATACATTAATTATTTGATCACTTGTTGCAGTATCGACATGTGGTCAGCAGGAACTGTTCTAGCGGAACTTTTGCTGGGTCAACCGATATTTCCCGGTGATTCTGGTGTTGATCAGCTGGTCGAAATCATCAAAGTTCTTGGCACTCCCTCAAAAGCACATATTCATGAGATGAATCCAGACTATAAGGAACGGACATTCCCACCTATCAAAGTGAGCACTGAATGGCGTCAGTTGATTTATGAGACGGAATGATAGGTAACGAGAATATGAGTTCCGGATGGTTAATATCTCGTTGTGAATCAATAATTGTGAAAGGTCTATGAGGACAATAATAATTACTGTTTCGACAAGTGACATTACAACTACAGTAATCTATCAGTTGTAGATCATCCAGTTTTCTGTTTACTTGTTTTTAATTTCACTTTATTATTTTTCTGTTCTTATTGACTGAATTTGAAATGTTTGCATTACATTCAATTTCCCAATCAGCAATCTGCAGCCACGCCCATGGATACGTGTTTTCCGCTCAAATGCAAATCAGGAGGCAGTTGAACTTATATCACTTGTACTTGTTTATTCACCACATCAGCGACCCAGTCCGTTAGAAGCTTGCGCACATTCATTTTTCGATGTGTTGCGCAATCCAGGAACAAAATTACCTAATGGACGTGATATTCCGTCATGTACAGATTTTACTTCTGAAGAGCTATGCTGTGATTCTGCAATTGCATCGTTGCTGTGTGGTATTCAGGTTTGTTTTTAAAACGTAAGGGCTCTACTCACGACTTGTTTTTTAATGCTATATTATGTTCCATTCATCATTTATATCTACCCATAAGGCAGTTAAGGTTTACTTTTTTAAATAGCTTTAAAAAACAAATAAAAAATAGTTCTCTTTATCATTTTCTCTTTTTAAATAGCTCTCTTTATCATTTTTACTTTGAAGGTGCAACAACTATGGCCCTCCAATTTTAATCTCTTGCAAAATTAAGCATGAGATGATGTAATGTTATATATATATTTTTGTGTATAGTCGCTTAGGGACTTTCCACACAACCTCGATTTTAAACATATATAATTATTCAGTCCTCATTTCGCTGGAGAAGTTGAACTTTGTACTTGATTCTCTATGCAGTATCGCGCAAACAATCGAGTGTAGTCAGACAAGAATTTGGAAACTATTGGTTCTGTAAAATTTAGATGAGATCAGACTGTGATTAATATTAGAAGTGAAAAATTAATATTTTTCGTAAAAAACTAAACTTAAAGGAAAGGAAAGTGGACTTAGTGGACAATGAAGAAACGATAAACGGTAATAGCGCTAATGGTGTGAAAGCTGAATAAAGGGAAATTTTTCTTACTTTGGGAGCTGTCGAGTGGTTGCATTTTCGTATGCCAGAAAAATTTCTATAATCATCTTTCCTTGCGAATTTTGTAGAGCAGCAATAGTTTTGTTGTGTTGGTTTTATATTTTTTTAAATGTGCAACAGGGCGGTTTTCATATGCTTTTATTTAGAAATGCTCTTAATTTGAGGTAAATATATATTTCTATTTTTGAAGGCTGCTTATGTTTAATTCGTCTTGTCCAAAAAATTTTCATTTCTATTGAAATAATGATATCTTAGTTTCATTAACGCCATTCGGAAGACGGATCGTATAGAATCGGTCCCAGTGTAAAATGCTTCGTCTGTTTACGAGATGTTTCAATTTTGATTGTCATTAGGTGCTGGAAATAACTTCTTTAGGTCTATGAGTCGTATTATATGCCACATGAAAATTAGAACGAGTGAATTTAATACACCTGCACATTTAAAGGCAAAACATTATGAACTTTAATGCGAAAGATTGAAGAATGTTTAATCAGGAAAGGTCTGGCTATGCAAACTTGTAGAGTTGAGCGGGAGACTTTGTTTCAGAACTGGGAGAGTAGGGGGCATCTCGGCTTTATTATTATTGGCGCCCCCTACTCTTCGGTCCTTTAAGTTGGATTTATCAGAAAAACAAAGGATGTGCAAATTACTACAGAAGAGATATTTTGCAATTCCCATAAATACTTGGAATCACCTTCCACTCGCATGCATCACAAGGTGCGATGTCCAACCGAATGAAGTCGGTTTGACAATTGAACAATATATACATGAAGGGGATTGGACTTAAGCCTTCTGGTTTTGAGTAAAGTCATGAGCATAATAGAACTGATGGAGACATAGTTTAAGCCTACTTGGTTAGCATGAGAAAAGTTGATACAATATCATGGAAAATCTGCGCCGTCCCCACCATGACCACGTCTTTCACTAGTATATCGTATGATGACAATGTGATAATCAAAAAACATTTTTCATTTCAAAATAAACTATCCATACAATTCAACGAATGAAATCCATGTGCATTTGACGGAAAAAATCACAAGAAGAGAGAACACTGAAGAAAAAATTTTTAACAACACGATTTTTTATACACATCCTTCGCTGAGCAAAAAACCGAGTATAACATTATCTTAAAAAGAAATCGAGCGCCGAGAACTAAGCAGAGGATATTTTCTTTCACTTGCACGGTTAGAGCCGCCAAATTGTTCACATGAGATTGATTATCTGTGTGCATTTTGAGAAGTGACAAGAGGCAAGAGTGCTTTTGCACATTGTCACACATATGACAACCTCGTTATATAAATCAAGACTGAGCTGATTGCGTGGTAGCTGGAGGTGAAGATACTGTACCACTATTGTTCAAAAGCGGAGTTCCCAGTGGTGCATTTAAACTTCCCGGTGTTCCAGCTAAAAACAATAAGATTACCCGGATTTAACAATTCAGATGCTGCAAAGAGACATGAGAAGATTTGGTATTCCAGTAAGAAATTTTACAACTAGACTAAGACAAACATTTGCAAGAGAGAAAATAAATGTGATCTCCGCATCTCCACTTTCCTTCTTTTGCATCTATGCTGTACAAGTGGAACTTACAGTTAGTAACAGATGTAGCAAGATCTTGCTTATTGCGCTGTTCGTTTTCAACAACAGGATAGAAATATGGATGCTGCATAGCTTCTTTTGCAGTGAGTCGTTCTTGGTGATCATAACGAAGCAATTTATCTAGAAAATCTACCGATTCTGCAGAAACCAAATGTTGATTTTCGCTATGCACAAAACGTTCCCAGCGTTTCTTGGAATGCCTAAATAATGAGCCTTTAGAAAAGATTAGAAAAGCATTCATCAAAATGATGAAATAGGTAGATAATTACGGAAATAGGATTTTATCGGTTAAAACTAACCGTCCGAGGATATCATTAAATCGGGGATCTAAATCAATCTGATATTTGTCTATGTATTCAAACAGTTCTTCAGTGCCCAAAACCTTTGCAATTCGCACTAACTGAAAAGTATAAAAATATGTACTCTAATCAAATAAGGTTGGCGAAAAAATGAAATTAAAAACATTCATTGAATGAGTTCTTATTTTTACCTGAAATTTAAACAAACAAACTAAAGCCAAATTACTGATTAGTACAAACCTGATCATAGTTGTCATGACCGTGAAAGAATGGCTCTTTCCTAAAAATCATGCTCGCAAGCATGCAGCCTAAACTCCACATATCCAGTGAATAATCGTAACACTAAAACAGTAAATTATAATCCTGGAGAAAAAGGATTGAAATTCGAAAAATTTGGATGAAAACCAAAATATGATAGAAGAAAATGAAAACACAATTTAACCTGATAATCAACTAGGAGTTCGGGACCTTTGAAATAACGTGATGCAACACGCACATTATATTCTTGACGCGGATGATAAAACTCAGCCAATCCCCAATCAATAAGTCTCAACTAAAAATATATGAATTGATTCCTACTCCTCTTCCATCTCATGCAACAAAGAATAAATTTCAAAACAAGATACATTTCTATGTACTTTACAGCTTAAAAATTTAAAAGAAATTGGCAGACATTGACATAAGTTACCAGACTATGATAAATTCCAAATAAATTAATGAAATTGTATAATATACTAACTGTTCGCTTTTCATGATCGATCATAACATTGTGTGGCTTGACATCGCGATGCATTATGCCCTGTGAATGACAGTAGTCAAGGGCTTTCAACAATTCATACAAATAATAGCGGATATCGTAATCAGTCAGAGTCTGATAAAGCTGCTGGAACATATATAAATTAATGAAACCTAAACTTACAAGGTCATCATGATCTGTTAAAGGGTATTAAGATATCTATCAGCCACTGTTGTTACATGGCTTACTGTCATTAAAACTAATATCACTCACTATGCAAACTTGCACCACCTATGCTACTATGATACTTGCCGAGAAAACGATTTAAAAGGAAAAGCAGTCATAGGATAATTTCCCTCGCGTCTGTGCAAAATTAATATGATAATGCGTAATGCATCAAAAGCTATGTATAGGTTTTCTGAAAAAAAACTAACAACACCAGTTATCGAATCAATCCGTCCTTTACTTTGCTCGCTGCTTAAAATGTTTAATGCTCATTAAGTACCAAAATTTAAGAACTATCTAACTGAACAAACTTTTAATTACAGGATGCCGTCAGACTCACAGTTAATGATAACTATTTCTGAAACATAAAACTACTACTTATATAAAAATAATTCCTTCGAAACATTTCGACATGTTCGGATACTTCACTTAAAGCAGAAATACTGGCCCAAACATCGAAATATGTATTCGATACCACAAAGAAAAAACCTTGAAGTCAGTATTATTGACATATTCGAAAACAAGTGCTGGAGTTCTAGAAATAGGATCCTTTACAACATCGAGCAGTGTGATGATATTTGTTCCTCCTCTTAAATTCTCTAAGATCTTGATCTCACGCTTTATTTTCTTCTTTTTGACAGGCTGAAAAATAGGATTCACTTTTTCCCTACTACAAATGCCTTTAAAGAAATCAGTAACGATATTATCATAATTAGCGTTTTTTTTCAGAAGACAAATGTTTCTCTCCGTTTAAGTTATTTTAAGACATTTAGACTCACTTTCTGCTAACAAGATGTTCTGCTATTGTGGTGTTATAGTACTATAAAAGTCCCTCAAAGACACACAAATTCGAGATAATTAAAAAATAAAAACAAGCCTTAAGAATTTTGATAACACATTTTTCATCTAAAGGTGACTTGAAACCTTCGAAAACTTCACTGTACTTGCCACGTCCTAATTTTCTGATTAACTGGTAATCATCGATATTACCCCATTCTATCATATGACATTCATAGTCCCAATATTCACGAGGTTTTTGCTGATTCACCTGAAAAAACTACTGTTCTTTTTACAAAAATAGTTGTTTGATATTGTTACAGAAACAAGAAAACAATTAGGTGAAAGAGGTCAGGTTATCTAAATACAAACCTCCTTTTCATCAAGGATCTTGGATGGTAGCTTCTTATTTCTTGAACTTTAGTGCGCCCACTTTTGCTTTTCATTAAACCTATTTATACCACCGATTTCGAGGAGCAATAAAACTATGTAACCGATAACATTCATTTATTCGTATTACAAGCCATATTTATTTCATGTAAACGTTACTACGTATATTCGCATCATTTAGGATGTACATGTACCGTATATGTGATTAACAACTACATATATTTATGATTACTGATATTTCTCGGATAATAATACATTCAAATGTTTTTTTAATTTAGGTCAAGGGTCAGCCATCTGGAAAGGGAAAGTACGATGGAATGATAAGAGTGATAACTGACCTCGGCATAGACGCTTGCACGGCTTGGTATCGGCATACTCCTCCCCGGCTGCCCTTCCTCCGCACTTACATCCATCCACACCTCATTGAGAAGAAAACAGACGACAACCTCACTCCCAACACTCCTTCAGATACGGTATTTCGCACTTCCTGCTGAAACTTTCCGCTACGATTGCAGCTATGAAGTGTTTTTTAGCTTTTACCAATTATGGACTTAATGTTCGTGTTATTGTTTATGCTTTATTATACCAATAAAGTTATTTAGCAATTAGTTACCTATTTTCGAGGAAAATCTTGACCAAAGGAGTGTCACGCAAAATATTTCAGTGAACTTTTATTAATTGGTTGGCAAATATGCTTTATTATGCTGTTAAACATGTCTACTTTCACATCCTTCACAAGATACCAGTTTTTTCCTTCTTCCCGCTTACATATCTCGTAAATTAAATGAATTCTATTTGAATGATTCGCATCAATTATTATTTATTTAATTCTTGTATCTCTTCATATATATTATATATATATATATATATACGAAGAGATACAAGCTGAAAAACAGGTATATTCATAGTTTTTTAGCATCATTATATTATTTACTGTAATATTCAACACATCATTATAATGCATTCGGTTCATAACTAATGGTTTAGTTTCAGGCAATGTTCAAGGCGACGGTTATTAACTGGTCGAAATCCGGAGTTATTGCTATTACTGCCTTACGATGGTATGCAGTCCGTGCTACGACAGCGAAAGCACTACATAATTCACAACTAAAACCTTTGTATTTGGATATGCAGGCAACTACACCAATGGTTGCTGCTTGTTTTATCTTTTCCAACGAAAGTACTGTGTTACCAGTTGCAAGAAATAATGATATCGCTTTGCTTTTTTTTCGTTTGAATTTGCACTTTAATACGTAAAGTTTTCGAGCTTTTTGAAATCTAAAATTTTGTTTAAGGACCCACGCGTGGTGGACGCCATGTTACCATATATGGTGAGTGCATATGGTAATCCTCATAGTAAAGCTCATTTTTATGGATGGGAAGCCGAAGAAGCAGTTGAAAAAGCCCGTTTGCAGGTGACACTTTTGATAAATCATACTGATGTTATTGTTAATAATGGATATTCTTGCGCTTCCAAGTATGTTTCCCTCTCTCTCAAGTGTATTTCTCTTCCCTTATCTGCTTCTATTCAGGTGGCGAAATTAATTGGAGCAGGTTCACGTGAAATTATTTTTACATCTGGCGCTACAGAGTCGAATAATATCGCCATCAAAGGAGTAGCCAATTTTTACAGAGAAACTGGAAAGAATCACTTGGTCACAGTGCAGACGGTTAGAAGTTGTGTTTATTCGATTTGTCATCTCGGTTCTACTAAGTATTAAATTTCTAGTTTTAATTAAGTTGCACAGGGTATTTCTTTTTAAATTTGTCGTTCCCATGTCTTACTTATTCTTATATAAAATTATTAACAGTTAAATTGTTTAGGAACATAAATGCGTATTAGATTCCTGTCGTCACTTGTCAACTAAGGGCTTCAAAGTGACGTATTTACCTGTCCAGACAAATGGAATAATCAGTTTAAAAGCAAGTTTTATATTGTTTCACTTCTCTTACTTAGCAGTGCGTAATTTATAAGTTAGGGCGTTTAAATGACAGTGCAATAGAGCAGCAATGATATGAGACAAGTAATTATGCTTTTTAATCATCGTTTAGTGCTCTACTCCACCTTGAAAATCTTAATTTCATATTATAGGAATTGGAAAATGCAATCACAAATGAAACTATTCTTGTGTCTATTATGGTTCTGAACAATGAAATTGGTGTTATACAGCCTACCAAAGAAATTGGTTACTTCTAATGTTTTTCGAAAGCTGAAATGATGTTTTATACGTCTTCACAGTTTTAGATATATCAATTTGTATTGGCTTTAATTTAGCTTGGCATAATTACTTTTAGGTACTTATATCAATCTAAATTGGAGACATATAGGTTCTGCCATAAAGGAATCCTCGATATTAGGGAGTTCTATTTAAGTAATTATTTTGTTTATTGTGGTTAGGAACAAAACATGCAGTTTAGATTTTATCTCTTACTTAATTGTAGGGAAAATATGTCGAGAAAGGAACGTGTTTTTTCATTGCGATGCAGCACAAGCTGTTGGGAAAATATCGATAGATGTTAACGATATGAATATTGATCTAATGTCTGTCAGCGGCCATAAAATTTATGGGCCAAAAGGCGGGTGACTGTCAAAGGATATGTAGTCTTATTGTAAAGGAATTCAGTTTCTTTCTATGCTACTACCTTTTCGGCAGTAATTATTAGTATGTATAAAATTGCATGGTTGTCATTGCCTTAAAATAATTAAAAATATAGGTGTTCATGAAGTGGATGATTGCTGGAAAAGAATTATGATTAAAAACAAATGTTTTTAAGGTATTGGAGCAATTTATGTTCGTCGGAGGCCTCGTGTTCGATTGGAAGCGCAAATGTCTGGAGGTGGGCAGGAGAGGGGCATGCGATCGGGAACTCTTCCAACACCTCTTGTTGTTGGCTTTGGCAAAGTTCTTCTTATTTCTTTTGTTCTAGAAGTTTAAATTAATTGCTAAATAAGCTGTTTTCTTCAGCCAATTTAGGCTTGTGCAATAGCAGAAGAAGAAATGGAAATGGATAAAAAACATATCGAACGTCTGTCGAAGCGGTTATTAGATCGTATAAATTCTAAGTTAAATCATGTTGTGCGAAATGGTGATCCAGAACAAACTTATCAAGGTTATTTTGCAATTCCCTTTGCTATTCATAGGTCATTATTTGATTGAAGTTGGAAACTAAAATTAGCGATATTTTTTTATATGAGGCAACAGTTCTATGAACCTTAAAATAATATGTGGATCTACCAGTTTTCAAATAATAAAAATTAACTGAATTATCTGGACACTTTATTTTTCAGGCTGCTTGAATCTTTCATTTGCTTGCGTTGAAGGTGAAAGTCTGCTGATGGCATTGAAAAATGTGGCATTGTCATCGGGCAGCGCATGTACCAGCGAATCGCTTGAACCTTCATATGTTCTTCGGGCTATAGGTTCAGAAGAAGATTTGGCTCATTCCAGCATCAGATTTGGGATTGGAAGGTTCACCACTGAAGAGGTTCATTCGCAACGTCACAAGTTTTACTTTAGTACTTGATTTTCTGGCTTGGATGTAAAGATTTTTTGCTTTTTATTCCGTTTGTTCATTTTCTCCATTCTTTATATTTCAGGAAATCGATTATACGGCTGATCTTTGTATCAGAGAAGTGGAACGACTACGGGAAATGAGCCCATTATGGGAAATGGTCCAGGAAGGTATTGATTTGAAAAGTATAGAATGGAGCCAGCACTAACTAGAGTGATTTCACCTGTAATCAATTTTTGACTCCGCCGGTTTTCAAAATTTTTTTTGTGTTGAAACAGCATTACTGTTTGGATGTAAAAATCAATACCCCTCCCATACCTCAGTATGTGAATTTGTTCTACCGATAAATATTGAATTATCCAAATATAATTACTTTGAAGCGAAGTAGTTATGTTGCTAATCCGGACTGCTTAAATATTGTCTAATTGATTTTAAATATGCTTCTCACGGTTGAAATTTTCTTTGCGTTCTTTGGGAGATCTTTCGAACAATGGCAGTTGGTAACACAATGATCAGTTATAGAAACAGTCTAGCAATGAATAAGATGCTTGCTTTGATGGAATACTCAAAAATTCGTACAACGCACTTCAAGAACTCTTCACTTCCAGTTTCATATGGAGATAAAAACAGCTGTTGGCCTAAACTCCTATAGTCATGGCCTAAAAAAAGTGAAACATTTAGAAAAATGTTTATCACGTTAGAAAAGAACTTTCATCACTAGATGTCAAATCATGCGGCACCACCGCTCTTAAACGCCAGAAAATGGCCAATACATTTTGTTGAATTAATACAAAATTTACATCAATATACACATGTCCCGGACAAAATCGCAATTGGTAAGCTGCTGCAAAAAGGATGTTACTGCTAATGTTGATCTATTTAGCCAGTGGAAGCAGCGATTAAAAAAAAAAAATATGCAGGCGATGAACCTTCTAAAAACACATTTTGAAAGATTTCACCAACTCTACTTAACCGGATAAAGATGAATTCAGTGACTATTTAAAAACATAACATTAAACTGTAATAGGGCAACCGGAATACTTGGTGATTACAAAATCGGTGTTCAATTGCCAAAGCTTGGAAAATAAAAGTACCGGAACGAATGATCGGGTTACAGAAAAAGTACAAGACTAACCGGAAATCGCACCAGTTAACAATTACTATGAACGAAGAGAAATTGGACTGACAAAACGGCCATGCCGTCATGTTTAAATACAATAAAATATATTGAAAATACACATGTGTTGGGATGAACAACATGCCAATAAGTAATTAGGAACATACGTCATAAAGTTGCCGGAATGGTAAATCGCTTTTATCCGAGCAAACTATGACATTTCATCGATCTTCACTACTAGTTCGTACGTCTAAGGTAAAATTAATCACCAACGAAGTCATTAAAAAAATTGAGCGTTCGAATATTCCCTCCAACTCGTATTATTTCAAACGTTGAGTAATGGATGCAAGTGCAACAGCAAATGCTTGCACGGCACTAAATGGTGAACGGAAATCAAGCGTGTAAGAGCCATTTTCTATTCGTCCAAATTGCATCACTTGCTGATCGCCGTATTCGATTTGGAAATTCTTCGCTGATTCTTGAGTTACACGACCACCAAAATCTAGCTGAAATAATTAATCATAATACAAATCGGAACTTGGTTCTAACACAGATTACTCTCTACAAGCAATCTTTCGTGTTAATTGAGACATGAATTTAAGATTTATAACGAGAAAAAATCGGTGGAGTCCATCGAGAGTTATGATTAACGAAGAGTCCATCAAGATATGCTTAATCGTATTAATTTGTAAGTGAAGAGGTGGTTTACAATGTTCTGCTTGAATGCAGTGTATTAATGTATCATGTTTGAGATGCTATCAAGTCATTGTTAACCTTAGAAACAAAAAGACTACGAATCAAATAAAGTCATAAACAAGTAATAAGAGTAATTGAAATCAGAAACGGAAAGATTTTGTGTGTACTAAACAGAGTGCAATCGAGCCAAGACTAAAAATGGCCAGTCTGTAATTCCATAATTGCAACGATCATCCTATTTAAATTTTACATCGCAGCGTCTGAACAGAAAAGACTGGCTTGTAATTATTCTATATTACAGCACGAAACTTCAAGATTATTCCACTTGAAGTTTTGAGCTTTAAGCCAAAATTAAATATCAAGTACAAGATTCAAATAAACAAACTAATGCACAGCAAAAACACAAGAAAGAAGGTTAACTTGATCATATATAAACAATTAACAAGTTTTCAAATATTCTTGAAAATCTAATATTTTGACAGTCACACTTATTTATTGTTCTAATTTGCTAATTAATTCAATCTTTTCATTTTTTTTATTGTACTTTTGCTTTACTTTCGTACTGAAAACAGAAAGAATGCATACCTGATATACTTGGCTAGCTTCATTCCAAAAAGGTGCTTTATTATTCATGGTAAGGAAGGAAATATTTTCATCACCTAATACAGGCTGTTCACCAAGTACCACTTTAATATGCTGAATTCTTTCTTGCAAATCACCACAAACTTCATCGAGTAATTCATCTCCTAAAATCGGTATGGTTTTTACGTAAATAAGCAATAAAATATGATTAATGATTGTTTTGTATGTCCTCATGAGCAAATTGATCTGAGATAAAAAGCAAAAAAATGACAATATTATGGAACTGAAAATTTAAAATAAAAAAATCTAATTTACCATAACTAATTTTCTTCTCGATCTGTGAAACTTTTTTCGAAATATCCTTCAACTGCGATCTCAGAGAGGACACTGTTGTATGGTTTTCCTTTATCGAATCCTAAATTTAAAAACTCTTCTAAAAATCTAATTTCACAAGTTCTTTTAATTGATAGTAATTATCAATAAAATCACTACTTGATTTCCTATATTCAAAATGTGTCCTGTAAAGTGAAAAAAAAGCAGAGAAGTGACACCTTTTCCAGGCACTGGAATGTTCCTTCTGAATTTCTTGATATTTTCTATTATATGCTGTGACACTTACATTCATACAGCGATATGGTAATGACTGCAGATTCACGGGGTTTGAGCTCTCGTCATTACTTAACTGTCCCACCGCACAGCGCGTAGTTAGATCATTCGCTAACTTTACTAGTTTGTCCAGTACTGACGTTATATCACTTAACTGTCTCATCCCTAAAGCTACAGATATCATTTAGAAATATTCGAAATATTCAAGACAATGAAATTGTGCAATGCTCTAAAAATGCTCAGGTATAAAAATATTATGCACGAGTAACTAGTTTCATATAACTTTTCTGCAGGTAATTTGCAAAAATATTACATAAAGGATATTAATAAAGTTATATCTTGAAAACTACCACCTTTGCGAGAGGTTTCAGCAGCTTTTAAACAATCAACGAGTGGAATGCGTTCAGTAGCATCACACATGACAACAGCATCATCCTCATCAATATACTAAAAGATCAGTTTGCAACATAATCAATGCGGCTCCAAGCAGAAAAAATAAAATCACTTTATTTTTGAAGAGTGCACAGAAGCACTGAATGAAAACTATAAGAACAACCAGTAATAATGACCTCAATATCATCGAATTGCTGAGACCATCGACTGCTGGATGCTGAAGGTTCAATGTAGGTGAGTTCACTACGCTGCGTTTTAATACCTGGACTAACTACGCATACTTCTTTGGGAAGAGTTGTTGCCCTAGTTGATACTTTCGAGACATATTTTATTACGTTGGTAGTGCCACCGAAAGAATCTAACTTCTGTGATGATCTTTCAAGATCGCTGGCAAAACACTTCATCTTTGCAATATGCCTTTCCACTGCCGCTTTCAGATCATTGAATTCTGATAAGATACTCTGCAACTGAATAAACATGAATGAATGATTATGAAACGAATACAAATTGTTTACATTTCGAAGAAATCTTCTTCTGTGTGCCACTATCTCAACATATGTTAAGTGCTTTTTTATTTAAACCACTAGTAATTGTATCTTTTCAATAAACAATATTATTGTCTTACTAAGACAAAAAAAATTTTCTTTGCAAACCAAATATTTACCAACAAATCCATCCTAATCAAAAGGTATCGAAAAATTGAGCATACTTGAAAAAGAAGTTTTTCTTCGATTGATAACGGCTCCTCAACTGTTTCATCGATCAGTGGTTCTGTGTCCATCGGCGTACCACGTCTTCTGATCAGATTTTCTCTTAAATTAAGATTCAAAACGGATAAGTTATATAGTAAGGATTGTTTTACAAAACTTATGATGATTGCATGCTACTTATCTTTCACTATAACTTGCGCAACATGTTTTTCACACTTATAGAAAAAAATTTAAATATATGAAAAAAAATTTTAAATACAGATACATACCTGTCACTTGGAGCGATAATGACATTGCGAACATTGCCTTTATTCGAAAAGCCACCGTCATTACTTGACTGTGCACTGTTTATTGGCTTACGATAAGTTCCACAACTTACCAGAGGACTGCCAGTTCTTTTGGTCAAGTCAGCCAATTGCACTGTCATTTGACGAGGTTGCAAGTGAAGAACTGATGTCTTGTAAACAACCTGAAATTAAGATCTCTTACAAGCTCCATCAAGCCTTTTGGATTTACGTTTCCTTCTTTCAGCCTCTGATTCACCAGTTGATGAAACAAACCCTTATCTGATCAATGCCTTAACTGGGAATTGCCTAAAAATAAACAAACTTGAGCAAGGAAAGTTGGAAGAATATTGGTTGTGACGGATAACATTTTGAAACGAGTGCACCACACATTGGACGTAATCTGAAAATTTACTAATTATTAAGAATATGACAAAAAACTTCAACCATACTTCTAACAGTCCTCGGGTTTTCATAACAAAATGCATATACCTGAACTAGTTTGCCGTCATTTCTGCTGATGGGACAATTAACATAGCGATTCATAAAAGCTCTTAATTGACGTTTACTTCTTCTCCAGACAGAGTTACGCTGTGTAGATGGTCGAGCAAAAGTACCTACATCTTCTGCAAGTGAATGGATCGTCGCACATATAAATCATGGATATATATCAAATTTATATGGCGAATAAATCCTCTGCACAAAACTTCTATAAGATTTCACAAATTAATTTTAAAATCGCTTACCAGATTTGAACTGCAATAAATAGCGTGTGATTCTGGTGCATGTCGCAGTAAAAGTTAATATCCAAATAAGGAAAAAAATTCTAGAACACTAACCAACTTGCGCAGAACTTCCACTGTCCGATTTTACCAGTGGCAATCTGGGATTATAGAGAGAAATTTGGAACTGAGGAATGATTCTATTCGTTTGCTTGCCGAGCAGAACAGGAATGAGGCCGGCCATGTGCTCCATGCATAACATATATGTGTGAACTTTACTTGGCACAGGGCGTATTGTACAATACCATCGCCAGTCGGAGGGCTCACAAACCTTCATCAGCATGTCATTTTGTGAAGGAACACGACACTGCAAAAATTAAACCACAAATGATGATTAAAAATTTTAAATTTTCATCACAACTTATGAAAAACTTCTTCAAAAATCTCTTAAAATTGAAGCGATTCTTTCAAAAAAATGATTCAGATCGTAAAAATTAATAAAGAAAAACTGTGCACGCTTATGCAAATGAAACGAAGACGTAAAAATCAACTCTTATTATATGATGGTCCAAAGCACGAATAGCATTCCGCTCTCGTGGAGGTAGTGGGAGTACATCGACATGCCGTGCGGATGCGCCCAATAGTTGCCATAAGTTGTAAGTAACCAAATTGAATAACGATGGCACATCATGTAGAACTCGTCCAACAGCCAATTGATTACCTAATTAGAAGTCTAATATAGCAGAAAACAAGAAATCAAATTTATTCCGCACAGGAAAAAGATTCGTAGGTTGCGAAGGAATGAAGACATACAATGTTTAAGGGTTCGTCATTCTCTCTCAAATATTTCGCCCACAACATGATTTACTGTGCTGCCACAGCCAATAATTCCTTACAAACTTTTGGATCAGTAAACTGGTACAGGATACAAGTAAATAAGAAAAGTATATTGCCGTTTCTCCCAGAAACTTCTAAAAGTCAGGAAAATTTTTAAAATTGAAGATATTCAAACCTGACGTAGCAATAATGAAGCGATCATCATGAACCCACGTAAATGCAGTAAGAGCAGTGGCCGAAGACTGCGAAACTTGGCTATCACAGACAACATTTCCTTGATATGTCATAATAAAGAAATGATTTTCTTTACATACGACAGCTAACAGTGTACCATTTGCATTCCATTGAATGCTTATGAGAGTCTCATTACACTGCCATTTCGCATTATCAATCTGAATAAATAATAAAAATGATAAATTTCACTTCACGAAGTCTGAAACTGCTTTTTTTCGAACTGAATTGCACAAATTTTATATTTTTATACTCATAAATTTTATACTCATAAAACTTAGTTTATTTAAAAAAAAAATATTCTAAAAACGATTACCAAACTATCTGCCCCATTTAACTTATGATATAAATATAAATTTACGCAAATTGATAATTTTATCAATAATTTTGGCAGAGAAAATCAATTAAATCTAATACTAAAGCTTGCCACCTATCAGCTTTCAACATATAAAAGGAATTCCATGTAAGAATGTATTCCACATAAAACAGAAAACACATTACAGGACAGAGAACTAATGTCCATCTTACGTCGCCTTATTTCAAAATCCTTCAAGTAAAACAAAAACAATGAATTCCTTGCATAAACAAACCTCATCATAAGAATTCAAGAAATTAAGAAGACCCGTTCCAGAACAAACAGCTAATGTCCATCTATCATTCCTACGTCTTGAAGATGCTGCTAAAAACCGAACACTGCTATTTACATACATCTTTCTTTCTGTAACTGTCGCGCCTAGAAGTAACAAAATCAAATAAATTCATATGAAGGCGGAAAACGCATGCCTTATTTCAACCAAACATTTTCTGAAAGAAAAAAATTAAAAAATAAAAATAAATGCTACTGCATGAAAATCTTCCTTCACTCCAGACAATTTATTTTGACTTGAATTATCACGAAGATTTAAGTCTTCATGCGGCATATAACAAGCTACATTTGCAGCATGAAATTAAAAAAAAGCAACATTTGCAGCATGAAATTAAAAAAAAAGCAACATTTACTCTAGACAGATCTCATCGTTTCAAAACTGTGTTTAACTTTATATCACGATAAAATGATTTTTGTTAAGAGTAATTAATACATATTATTCGCACTAATAAAATCCACAACCTAATTCTGAATGATATGAAGAAGTAACCTTGTTCATTCAACACCTGAATTGTACCATTATTGAATCCCAGAATAATTTCGCGCGAGTCGGGAGCCCAAACACCGCAATTGACAGTAACAGGAAATGAACTAGACCATATCCTTTGACCCGTGGCAGAACCAATTAGAACAAAATTGTCTTCATAACAAATAAGTGCCGATGAACCATTTGGGCTCCAGGTTACACCACGAACCTAAGATTTACATTTACTACACTCAGTTTTCGAGCCTTTCTCAATTTTTATGCTATTTTTGTCAATATTCATGAAAGTAAGTGGATGTTACTATAGATTTCAAAAAAAAAATTGATAAAATAAACACGAAAAATTCGCAAAATACAAACCATTTCATACTCGATTTCAATTACCTTATATACTTATCAAAACTAGTTCTTTCACCAACCTTAATACCACGATCGTTCACCAATTCTACACTCCACCTTTCTTCATTCGGTACCCAAACATAGATAATTCCCGAACTATCGCAGCTTGCTAATTTCATCTGCTCCTTGTTCCATGCCACTATATTCACTGTACTATGGTGACCGCGAAGATTAAAATTAACCCTCCTATTGTCGTCTCGTAATGGGCAAGCTTCTGTTGCTGTCACCCCTACTGCTCCTGATTCTGACCCTGGAAAAGAAACAAGTAGAATTCAAAGGTAACGTACAAAAGTGTGAAACGCGTAGCACGCCTAATAATTAAGACTAATAGTTTACTTCTGCTGAAAACAACACTAGGATAAACAACAAAAAATAAAACATATTAAACCTTCTCTTGAAGAGATTACATGCGCCAAGTTAAATAACACTGATATCATTACGCTTGATATTGATAATAGATCCAGGTATTAAATCAAACTACAGAATGTACATCGATTGAAAGCGCTTACCGGTAGCCAAGAGGCCAGTATCGACATTGTCGCCATTAGGTATCCAGTTCAAGCAAGTAATACTCGAATCAACAATACAACCAGGCCAATCGTCACTTTCCCAAATGATCTTCATGCACTGTACGTATATATATAGCTCACCTTCTTTCTCTTTCAATCGACTTTTTGATTACTATTTACTCAATCATAAAAATAACCTTTTGCGATAAGTCGAAACGCTAGTCACTGGCTGCAAGTGAAATCTAACAAGGCTTGCTTAAAATTGATTAATGAACTATGATAGATACTTGATTATTTGTCCGGATAATGATTTTATTGAGAGGATGATACTATTTTGCAACGAATGGTGGAAATTAGATGCTAAAATTAAATAAATACGGAAAGATCTCAATTACTCTGCAAATGACATGCTTAACTCTCCAACCGATATTTATATTATAGCGCAGCGATTGTTGTTGGCCTCAGAGCCGTGAATTGACGGCCGTTGTGAAAAATCTGAAATTGTAATTAAAATTATATATTCTTGATGCTTGCTTTCTAATTTGCCGACGTATCATGAGTTACAAGAGCATGCTATTTCAATGCTCGCGTTTATTTTGACTATCTACACCAAACTTTATATGCATTCTAGAAACATCTTCCTTTTTTACAGTTATTACATCAAATGCTTCTGATAGATAGCGGTAGCAGAGAAAATTATTTGAAACAAAACAAGTTTTCATTTTACTTTGGAAAAAAATCAGTTCAATTCAGTCAAGGAAAGGACAAATAAAAAGAAATGAGAGTTAAATAAAAGGAAATAAATATTCTTTAAGATTGTCTCACTGATAAATGAAGTAGGCTAACGTTCTTAATTAACAAAAAATTTCTTTGCTAAGAATTAGATGGATAGATGAGTAAAATAAGAAGAAAGAAGCAGACATATACATATATAATGTTTGAAAAAATAATTTAAAATAGTTGAATAGAAGTATTTTAATAAAATTCTAAAATTAGTAACAAATCGAGAAGGGTCAAGATATAAGGAAACAAAAGATGGCAATGATTGTTGTTTGCGACATTAAAGTATGAATGTACTAAACCTGTTTTATAGTTTATTAATAATGGATGCGCTTTAAAGTGGAAATTGCCAGTAATGTTTACTTCCAAATGATATTTCCCCATCGTCTCTTTTAGTATCAATGCAAAAACATATCGTTTTATCAGGTGAGAAAATAATTCATCTTTTTATAGAATGCAGAAGTAGCATCCATTTTTTTCACTCATTTGTTTTCTTTCTCTTGTTGCCATTCTCAAAGTTCCATAATATGTGACATTGAAGTATGGAGTAATTCAAAAATAGACAAGTTTTCTAAGTGGGAATAGAGCCTAAAAAAGAGTAGAGGTAGGAGGTAGGAGTAGGAGTAGCAATAGTAAGAGCAGGGACTACTTAGAAGATAGTAGTTATCTAGGTAGGAGTGGCCTAGAAATTAGGAAATAAATAGGTTGTTTAAATTTTAATCAGAATATCGCTCATGCGGTGATTAGGATTCTATTATTATCATTTAGTATTCATTGGGGTTCTAACACTACCACTGAGTTGTTGAGCGGTTAGCTAGATATAAAAACCTTGGTTTTCATTATTATCCGAGCATTCTATCAAAATGCTAAACTGTTATTTATTTTTTAGTAACTTCCTATTTATAAAATTAGATATAAAATTAACTGAGTTTAATTTTAATCCATTTTTTACTAATTTTACAAATCAATGGAAAGAGTTGAATTTATCAGTTTCTGAAATTACGAGATTTAAAACTTGAATTGCTAATAGAAGAACTGATTTATAGCAGAGGCGCATGAAATGTTGCTAAATTTACAGCTGCAATTTACACGCATATAACGCTCAAAATATCGGTAAAACTAGATTTCAACACGAATCAATCAATTTTTTCACAAATTTCCTCGCAATTAGTAATTTTGAACGTTTCTTCGAAATTTATTATACGAATTTTTCAAGTAAAAATTTTTAGACTATTGGAAATCTTTAAAAGATCCCGATGACGTCCTGAAATAACTCGTTACAATAACTGAGTAAGAAGAATGAAGATAGGATTAGATAAGATAGTAAGAAAGAATGAAGATAGATAGAAGATAAGAATGAAGATAAGATACCATTGTTATTTTTATTCTTTTTAAGTTAAAATTATCATTCATTGAATCCAGCCAAAAAGGTTGAAAAATCAATTACCACTATTAAATCATAATTCATTTTCGTGATTGTAACCAGTTACAATGATGAAAACAGCAAGTAAGCATTTTGGCGGTCTTGATCAATCGCACTAACAAATCATACCGTCATATCATAAGTAAAATTACAATTATGTTACAATTATAGTGATGAGTAGTCGCTAGCAACGACAACTACAACATTCGAAAAAAAAGCAACCCACATTTCAAAATTCCAAACATGGAACTGGAATTTTGCTAGTTGCCATAGACATTTCTATCACAACAAATAATTAACGAACTCATTTAAATGATGAGGATTGAAAACAACATGACTTCCTGATAAAACTTATCTCATCAAGAGATGATTGATAAGTTCAGAACGAATTCAGAAAAACGATTCAAAAATATGGGACAACAAATCGTGTAAAAAAAACAAATTAGAGATTAAATGCAGAAAAAGTATCTAACGAGCCTTAATTTCCTACTTGTTGAAATTTCTATAAGATTAAAACTTTCCTAATCCTTCAGCTCTTTAAATTCCCAAATATTTCCAGTTTCTGCAGTAACGAAATTTAGAGTTTCGGGTACCCAAATATTTACTGGTAATTTACTGATAAGATCATTTAATTTATTATTATATTATTAAAATTCATAGAAAATCAGTCTCATGAACGTCGAAACCATAAAATAAATTTTAGCAAATCGAGTCGATTGATCATAGCGCAGTTAAATAAATACTAATGTTTTATTTCTTTGCATGACATTCCAAAATTATTACGAAATCAATTCTGATTGAGCATGCAAAGGAACAAATACACCAAGGTACAGACGGTAAGAATTATCCGTTTAAATTTTATTTAACTGGAGATGTTTTACCTTAAATACAGTAAACCTTTACATCTTCTGAGAGTAATTAGCATTCTTAGGATTGAATGGATTTTACCGGGTTTCATAAAATATTTGTTCTCAGAATAGAGGACTCCTACGACCATAATATTCTGTGTATGCTACTTCATCGTGACTTTGAAAAATAAAACATCAGCAGACATAGCTAGAAAGTGGCGAATGCATTGTTTTAGTGAGATATTTCGCAATTTTCAAATAGCGGATAACCTGCAGTATCCCTCGAATTATTTGTTAAAAAATAAGCATCGCTACAATTTACGAAGGCAATTTCGCACTCATTTAAAAACTTTCCTTTTCTGCAGTATTGATTTTTAACCGTCTAGAATACTAAGTGGAAAAAGCTCGCAATTGTTCAATAAATCTTAAAGCAGTAGCATGGGAAGTTCATCCCTGAACATTTCACACAATTAACAAGTACATTTCAAGGAGCTTCATCAAGCCACATATCAGAATACTTCTGCAACATACAATGAATGTTCCTATACATTAATAACATTTGTTCTTTCAACAAATGAAATGCGTGTATTTATTAAAAATCAAAATGGTAACAAAATACCTCAAGTGTAATAAAACCGATCCACCTCGATAAAAGTGGAAACTGAATTAACACAAGAAATAGCTCTCCCACCATAGTGAGATCGTTTATTAGGAACCGAAAATGCGGAAAAAGCATATAAATTTTTGCAGCAGTACCACGTAAGTAGTATTAATTAAGAAACAAATGATGCATAAAAATTGTCGGCTCAAATTGTATATATAAAAAACAAAATCAAAATTAGAAGTTTCGGTTGTACGGCAAAGGAAAGAAGAATCTGCCTCACTGCGGCATTTCAGCTTGAACTTGGAAAGACTACAAAGCAATAAATAGGAGAAAAATAATGCCCATCTTAAATCATAGACATTTTTGAACATAATTTATACCCATTACTTTGACCTCTAGATTTGATGGAATATTTCGTCCAGCTTCATGGCAATGAGTATTGAAGGTTAAAATTGCAATTGGCAAAATTCATCCTTTACTCATTAGCAGAATCGATCAAATTTTGTCACAAAATCATCAAATTCCGAAAAAAGATGAGAAGCGAAATAAATAAAATAAGCTCCCAGTCTAACAGAACAAAAAAATCAGTTAGCAACGAAAGTGTTGGATTCTTTCGTGACTATCAACAATATATCTTGCACAATTACAAGATGTCAAATACAGTATTTTCAAAGTACGAACATAAGCTTTTCTTATATCTTTAATTTACAACGTACAACTTCAAAATTATATTCTTCCAACTTTGAAAAAAAATCAAAATCATATTTTCCATTAATATAACTTCATAAGGGGGAAAAGCACAAATTTAAAATTCTCCAGAGATGACGCAATGTATATTGAGTAACATACAATCCAAAAAATAGTAATATATTAGTATCGTCCACTTTGCATTGCGTGACTCATTGCCTGCGTAGTAGCTGCTGATGCAGCTGCTCGTGCTGCTCCTGACACAGCCTAAATTAGACAGAATTATAAAAGAATTACCCATTTTTCCTTCTGTCATAGAATTTCCGATTTTTGAAAAAAATGTCTATAAAGTCTAAACCAACAAAATTTTTCGTTTTCTGTACGACTTTATATGATTTAATACTGTTTGAGGTGGTAGAGCTGTTTAAAACGTTTTCCATTCAATTATCTCAAACGAATTTGAAATACGTTGATAAAATATAATTTGAACTTACGTTATTGATTCCCTCCAAATTTCATGAAACAATTAGTTCGTCTGCATTAAAACATGAAAGAAAATTCCTGATTCTGTGTCCATGTAATATATGTATCATGAATGTTATAATACCTTTTGATTTGAATTTTTCGACATCGACTAAAAAAAGACATTTAGTACATATAAAGTAACAATGACCTGTTGAACGTTTCGATCCGCCATAACACCATCAGAGAATTCTTTGCGTGCTTTATCCAAACTGAAACCAGCACCACGATAGAAGCGATGGACTCTGAATAATGCAAACACCATTCCAACAAATGCTGCCGTGAATGCGATCGCTGATATAATCATTATCAGGGATGCGAATATGCTGTGGCTGAAATGAAACACCATAAGGACACCAAAAAAAATGAAAAAAGTAAGCATTTTTTTCAAACATAACTGTCACAATGCAATGCGTTCATTACCTTAGCAATAAATCGCATTTGAATCAATCTTTAGTCTCAAAGATAAATGATATGATAAAATTATAGACAGCTATAGTAGTCCTCATATTAACTTGCAGAAAAAGATTTGTTCAACGAAATATTTCGGATCAAAACGAAGCACTAGGAAAGAGAAACCAAAATACGAAAATTTACTGGAATGTATTAATTGCATTAATCCAACCACAAGCATATTGCGACAAACCAAGTGCTTGCACCAGTGTGAATATTGAATGAAAAAAAAGGACGAGGAAAAACAGCATGAAGTTGACTGAGCTATCATTCCTGAAACGAGATAAAAATTCAAGATCTTCCTATAAATATAAGCTTCATCAGCCTTTGAGTAAACATATTGGAATTTTTGGGTGAAATTTTATAACCTTTCTGTGGTTAAGAAAACAAATTGATCGCAATCATGTATGCAGCTATATCAAAACATTATTATAAATCGTTGATATAAAATTTCCTCGTCTTTTTTTTGCATTTTTTATTAATTTAAAATAAACTTTTTTGCCCATTATTTCATGCTTAATTTCTGCAATGGCTTCAAAGCAATTAGAAGTGGAAAATAACATAAAAAACCTGAATGCTTTGTAGACAGGACGAAACCAGAACAAGAACGAACAGGAGGAGAGCAACAAAATCTGTATAATTGCAAGAACCAATATGCCAATAGATCCAGTACCAAAAATAACATAAAAAAAAGAGGCAATGACATTAACTGCCAAAGCCAATACATATGTTAAGAAAACATAATAAACTAAAGTAACCGTGCGTTGAAATTGTACCGGAATCTCTACTTCAATATCCTGAAATGAAACAAGTCTTACTTTTTTCCACTTTACTTAATTATATATA